ATATGTTGTGATTTCAATTTCCAGTTAAAATTTCGTAATATTTTACTCCAATTACTAGTAATTTTCTTAACCAAAGAGTCACCGTCTTGATCGATAGCGTTGTTTTTACATACCATTCGTTTATGCGATCCATTTCTAACTCTGGAATATTCCGTTTTGACGACCTTATGTTTGCCTACTAGACTTATTTGTTAGTTACTACTGTAAATAGCGATTCGTGAAAAAGAAAGCTTTTTCACTGAATTGTTTTGCCTTATTCCAAACTTCCCTCCGGGGTTTCTTTGCAGATCTCTTCAGTTGATTAAGTACAAATCAGCAGTATGATTACTGAGAGTTGAGAAGTCTAACTGTAGTGGACTCATTTACTATTTTTTAAAGATAGTCGTGAAACTGTGCAGTAGCTATATGTACAGAACGGGAATATGTTTTGCCAGCAAGTTCTCTTACAAAAAGACAACTAATTTTAAAACTTTTATCCAGTTAAAAATCCACAAAAGTTGATGCATATTTTTGTTGTATTTTATAGATTGGTTTTTAATCATGACAAAATATATGAGGATATCTCAATTCTCTAAGATTCAGGTTTCAATACAACTGAAGATTTTCAAATAAGTTGAGAAGTAGATTTAGTTAGTTTAAATTTCTTACAAACCAGTTTGAAGTAAATAACATTGAAGTAGATGGTTGAGAATTTAAGTGTAATGAACGACTTATCATCGTAACACGATAAAAAAAAAGGTAACAAAAATGATAAATGACATTCGCTTGAGTGAAGTTCAGGAGCTGATGTCGCAAACTGCTACTTTTGGAATCTGTTGTTCATGAATTCAGTCCATAAGGGGGTGAAAGTGCACCGAAATAAATGAAGACTTATTCTATTGCACTCTGACCTTCAGTGGCTGTTTAAAAATGAATACTAATTAAGGATCTCACTAAGGCGACTACGAACTGGATTTATCATTATTCCAGATATTAAACATGAAGACCTTTAGACAAACATTACATAAAGATAATATTCTGAACCAAACTCAAGGTTTTTTGTATTCAACCAAAAGATCGCCTCAAAAATGAGACTGTGAAATCCATTTTCTCAAAAAGATTCAAGCTAGGATGTTCCTTCAAGACAATTCTGTATGACTTGATGTGGATATCTTCCAATCATTAAAAAAGATAGCAGTTATAAACTGTATTTTGAAGTTCGAAAACTTATGTAAAAATTTAATGTTACCAATATTACCAAAATATTTAGCACTAAGGCTTTTGAAGATGTCAAAACTTAAAATATTAAGGTTTTTTACTCGCTTGCGTTAATTTAGTGGATATGTTTAGGTGTAATGCAAAATATCTAAATTTGTATGAGATAGTTGGTAGCAGTCAGCAAGACATTGTGATCCCACATTTGTTTTTTATAAATACGAAAGAAAATGAACTGCCGTCTAAAAATCACATGTAGTGGCACAATTAAAAGATTTGATGTTTCATTTCAAAGTACGTCAGTCATTTATTAGATAGTTTAATAATGAGGTATGCATCAGAAGAAATTTATGAACACTATAAGTTTCGAAAAGTCGACAGTTTTATGTTTGCGATCATTGTCTTCAATAACTACACATTAAACAAGGGTTAGGTGGTGGAAAACAATCAGCATCGACAATTTGATAGTATGAGAATGGCTACTAACTAGTAGTCAGTCAATTTATCGAAAAGTTAATCGCAAACGAAATCTCTATTCGGAAAATAAGGTCTCTCAAACAAAATCGACAGACATTTGAGTGACTGACTGATTGCCCGAGATCAACGTGAAACCTCGCACACAGGTGGATTAGATAAAGTTGCCACACTCCACAGTATTACACAAAAAAAGAGGTGCATAGGAAAATTGATACCAACGAAGATAGAGTAGTGTGAGAGAATAAACAATATGAAGTTAAAGGTTAGTGCGAATATTCAAGCTTTAGAAGACATAAAGAAGTGAATATATCTGAGCCATTGTGATCGATTTTCAGTCATGTCACTTATAGTCCACAACCACTGATTTCTTTCATCTAACCGACACCAACCAAGCAGTCTACATCGTCATACACGACTCAAACCAACAGTTAGAGACTTCTTCGGTTGGTACCAAGTCTTGGTCTACTCACCCAGAACCCCCTTCCAGCTTGGCACGACGAGGTATGTAGTGCCTCAGAATCCATAGTAGATGTCCAGGCCAACTTAGTCGAGTAAGGTCCACAACCTTGATTCATCGGAGGTGCTAGTAAAACCATTCATATGCTGAGTATATCTAAAGGTGAAATTTTCAGCATTGCAAATGCTCCATTGAATTGCTAAGCTATGCAGGTTAAACACTAATTATACTCAATAAACTGGAACTAATAATAATATTTCGCATGAGTCTGTGAAGGCAGCAGATGTATTCTTCATTCCCCAAAACATTTCTTTAATGTTAAGCAATCACAGCTCCATGCATGCGTTGTCAATATTAAGCACGATGGACTTTAGAGGGAATTCTGAAGCACTTGGCAATTTACACGTGCGTATATTCAGTGCACCTTCATCAAAACCGTCGAGTGAAACTGCTTTCGTCTACATTACTTCATAAATGCATTCTTATTAAAATTTATGAGCTCATGAAGTGTGTTATCATAGTCTAAATGCATTACTCCGTTTATGTGGCACCCTTAATTTATTACAGTTGATAAAGTGGTTACTACTACATAAATAAGTCAATATATTGTTGTTTGATACTTGCGATTTCACGTTTTTATACACAGCTGAACTGCTTGACATCTGTTGGCAGCTAGGTTCCTATGAGAATGTCTAGATTCCGCAGGACATTCATGATTCTATATTCATCGGGATAACTGGAAGTGGAACTCAAGACGTGCGTTTCGCCCTATTTGAGACCCCTGAGCTGCACGCCGCTAAGTGACGTAGTCTCCAACGCAACTCGAACCCAACACTCATCGCTCACTGTTGTGAAGGTACAACCAGCTGACGAGTCCTAAGTGGTACGAAACGTGCATAATGGATCTCACTGGTATTCACTGAGATGAATACAAGTTACAATACTGATGACTTTCTGCAAAATGTGAAATTTTCATCACTAATGTATTTCTATGAAATAAGCTCTGTAAATCGAGGATAAAATGGTCACTTAGTGTGAGGCGGCATTCATCACTGTATATATATATATATATATATATATATATATATATATATATATATATATATATATATATATATATATATATATATACGGTTTAGCCTAGGAGATAGAACTAGATATTCATAACTGTGTACACGCTATCAGTGAATGATTCCTATAAATTTAGCTTTTAATGCCAATAAATTTTATGATCGCATCTTGAGGTGCGGCATATTATATTCACGAGTGAATAATGAGAACCCTAGAGGAGCATAATGAGACACTGTATAAATACCTAGAAAGTGTTGAGATTTGATGCTTTGAAGAAACTTGAGCAGTGGATAACTGATATTCATTGTTGGAGATGACAATGTTATTTCCCAATGAATGTAGAAAAAAAGTTTTTTTACTGATTCACCTCACTTTGCAGGTTTGATCAGTGCATCTTCAATTCAACAGACCAAACTATTTTGTTGAATAACTTCGATACGATACGGTCCTTTAGTTGACCACATTTTTCATCAAGTGAGCCTAAACGCAAATCAAGTTAAGGCTTCCGTGAGAATTCTACGTAGGGTTTCTGATTGCATTTCTTTATACGGCAAAGCTATGGGGGTTTGAAAATCTTCCCACCTGGTTTCATTTTTAACACTGTTTGTGTCTGTAATTGTATTATTTTCTCTACCGTTCTTCATCTGTTACTGAATAGATAATTAGTGAGTAGAAATAAATCTTTTACACTTTTCGTTTCAAGACACAAATTTTCCTTTTTATTAGTGTGTCATCATACCGTTGCTTGGGGGCTTCACTATGCCTGCCGTAGGCGGTATCGGATGCCACAACATAGAGTTTTACCGTGAAAAGATAAACATATCTGAAAATATTTCGATTTCGACTGAAAAATCAAGTGTAACCAATATGAAATTTCAGTTTGCACTAATAGACATATCGGTAAAACTCATGAACGAAGGAGACACTTTATGGTATAATGACTGTATGAAAAAAGTAGATTCCTGTCAATTATATTGCCATATTTTGTTGAAGTGTTCCACGGAACTTTTAGCAGCAGAGACCCATTAACTGTTCCGTTAAAACCCCGTCATAATGAAAAATACCTTTGTAATTGTTGAAGAAAGTGTCAGGTCACTTCTGAACCAAGAAGGTACTTTGAACTAGTTGGGGGAAAAAGACACATGAAAAAAGAATCATTCACTTTCAAATATTCATCGTGAATACATAAATGTGGTGAAAGAATCAAATGTTCATGACTGCTTATTAACGGTAATGGTTCCATTTTTTTCACTTAACACTACAGCTGAATCCTTTCACTGAGAATGAGATTTGTATTTCACGTGGAAGAAGATCAAAAAGTGATAAGTCATATAACCGATTTCTGTATAGAAGTAAACAAGGTACTTTTACAAACACTAATAACTTATCTCATCATCAGCATTACGTTAACGAAGCATAATTTTATGTTGACGTTATATCACAATGATGAAGAAAAAAGTCAACAAATGAACTGAAAACCCCTTTAAAAAGTAACCAAATCAACTGTAAACATTATTTCACATACATTATTTTAATCGAAAAAACTATTAAATGTATCCTAAGCATCAATAAAGAATGACCAGGATACCGTCTATTAACAACGAATTCATGATGCATAAAATAGAAACGAAACGAAATGGTTAGTTTAAAAAAAAAAGAAATTTGTTTGAAGAAATGTAATAAAATAATCCGCCGTCTAAATTACAAATAATTAGATGTCTAGTTTAACAAACAAATAAACATGTAAGTAATGAAACGAAACACTTTTAAGTTAACTTAGAGAAAACTTTAACGCATCCTGATATATATATATATATATATATATATATATAAAGCGAAGAATTATACGCTGGTAATCTTCTTCCCATTGAACAGTGAATTCTCTTGTGAGCATTCATATAGACAATCACTGGACGGCTTAAAAAAGTAAATAAATAAATAAAACAAGAAAGCATATTTATAACGAATATTAACCAGTGAATTGACTTTTAAATGTGTAATGTGAGTACCTGAAGTGAAGCTGAAAGCCATCCAACTTTTGAGAAATTCTAAATCACTATAACATAGTTTTTAAGTATATCTTGACTGTCAACACATCTGTCATCGATTTTATTGCCAACAATCTACTGGAATGCAATAAAGTATTCTTAGATATTTACCTTTGTGAATAAAAATTGTTGATATGCAGTATAGTCCACACGTACGTCATGTAGTTATGTTTTATAACGCAATCTACGTATGATGAAAAGAAAGACAACTGAGTGCACAACATATCAAACAATGTTGACATGTCTAAATTGGAACGATGACGCAATCTTATAAGGATATATTTCATTAATATACTGATAGAGTAATGAGCAAATGGAACTGATGTGGCACAACACCACAAGTTACAAGTTCCTGCAAACTAAGGTCATGCGTCAGTCGGTATCAACATGAGACCAAACAGTACTGCATAACATATTAATGATGGGTAATGGCTAGCAATGGGTTCCAGGACTCGTAAGCTGGATGCACTTGCCTCCCAGATAACGATGTTGTTCGCATTAGGCCTGGAAACACGGGACCAATTGCTTCAAACGCCAGAGCGTTATCCACTAGGCCACAGAGTTGTGATGACCACTTCTTATGCAACACATACAGTTTTAATATTGTTGTTTGAATAATCTCGCCATTGAGTGGACCGGAATGATTATTGTATAACATTCTAAATCACCACACCTCACTTCTTAATATGGTAACAAGATGAAAATAAAAGAGGGAAAAATAGCGAGAAATTTGATCGAAAGTAGTAGAAAACTATTTCTTCTAAAAAAAGAAGAGGGAGTAACGCCAATTTATGCAACGTGAGATAATGATTATAAAAATAGTATGTGGATTTATCTGCATGACTGAGATCATCATCAAGCCTAAATAACTAGAATTTTGGGTCGTCAAAGTCTAAATCCCCTGGAGCTGATCATACCCATAGTGAAAGACTTCATAAACTGAAGCTATATTCTAACTTGACTTCCTTTTTGCTTTTTTCTATCCTAAGCCTATTCTAGGTTAAAGTGTGGATCAAAATACACGGTAGTCTAACATGCACACCGGGCATAATCAAGATTCTCAAACCAATGTAAGAAGAGTTTCGAATCAATATCATGTTGCAAAAAGATATTAGGTCATTTTTGAAAAAATTACTGCTAATACTGTTCAAAATACAAAACAAATAAAATGCACTACATCCACTTTACATTAGAAATCTTAAAGGTTTCAGTCAACCAATCGGTACTCAGTGGTTCATCCAACTCGATAAACGGATTAAAAGATCTCCTTGTATTTTCAACTAAAACAGTGCAATAGTTTACTGTGCAATAGTATGCACTAACAGAAGATGTCACCAAGCCTAGTGATGAAAAGTCCACGACAAAGTATCAAAGCTCCGATAACACCATACTCATCTTGAGCTACAAATCTTCCCCATCATTCATAAATATTATCATGACACTGCATAATTTGAGGTGCATTGAACATGTGTTATGTAAACATAAACACTATTTATATGAATTGCCACAAACGTGCGAATAAACCATGACACAACTCCATAACATCTCTGACTAAAGTATCATTGCAGTGACTAGAGTATCAATGGTTCAAAAAGTGAAAATTTATTAGATGTATAATATGCAGATATTATTGATAATTTAGTTAACATCTGAAGATGATTACAGATATCTTTTATCATAGAATGAACTCTGAGAACTAATTTCACTTGTAATTTATACCACCAAACCCCTTTCGGCTTAATTTCCTAGTGCCATAATCATTATAATTATGTGTGCATTTACTAACTATCCGTTTGATTAATATTACCATTAAAATCTTTATATGCAACAAACACAGTGACACTCTATCGATTAAATGCATAACATTTGGTCATCGAAAATGCAGTTTTTAGTTATAAAGCACATACTGAAATGCAAAAAAACTGGTTTAAAGCCAAATGAGAGCATGGAATCGCAAGATAATTATCAAATTATTGCGCAAAAAGGAACCAAGAAGTATAGATAACACAGTTAAGTGACTTTTATGCTTATAGTTTAGCCTAATTATAAACTTGTCCCGTTTTCCCCTATTGAGAATTTAAAAAAATATGTTAATAACCCTAGTTTTCTTAATAATCAATGATGATGATGATAAAAGACTTTTATTCTAATTTTGATGCATACTAATAATCACACCAACACATTTTTATGAAAAGATCAAATTTACTTTGCTGTAAATAACCTACAATTATTAAAAGATGTGTTGGAATTTCTCGAAGGAGATTTTCTTCCATTTGTAAGTGTATATTCAATTGATCATTTGGTGTACTTGACGATGACGTAGAAGAATAACTTTCTAACATAATATGTGGACTAAAACATTTAAAAAACATTCTTAACTCAATAGAAATAAATTATGTAAAGCTTTCATATAAATTAGATAATCTAACTTTATACAAACAGTTTATGTCACAATGACAACTAAAGTAATCTTCTGTGTCAGTCTCAGACCTTTAAACAGTAGGAACCCAGGAATATATGATCTGCTAGATTTTACACAGAACAATAAGCGAGCACTTTGAACTGTTAAACCGTTGCATTGAAGCCATAATGTTCACCACTTTCTACTTCTATCAATTTGTGATATGTTGCGATAACCACTCAATATTATTGGGAAATCTTTAGCCTCACTCCAAATTTCACTAAACTCACAAATGATGGGTTCTCATAAGGATATCCATTTCAAGATTGTTCAACTGGTTGGTTTTTGAAGAACTAATCGGTTTAAAGAAAACCTTCATTATGAGACCAGTGGTTTTCAGAGATATCCGTTTATGATAAAAGCTGTTTTTTTAAACGGCTGTCAGAAATAAACACACTTCAGAATAAGGTCAAATAACACTTCTGATAAGCAGTTAACGGCTAAAGTGACAAGTATAAAGATCAATACCAAGCATGGAATCACAAACAGATACAAATATGAGTTCCCATTGCTAGTGGTAGTGAAACAAAGATAGATATAAAGAACTGACATCAATGCTTATCGGTTCAAACTACATTTTACATCAACCTATCAAAATGGGAGTAGACAAAAAACCTGTAAATATAGTTCCAACAAAAGGAATAAATATAACAAATAACCCAAGAAAAAATATCACAACACATGGAAATTAGATTTCATACTATTTTTGCTTTGATTTACATATGATAGAAACCATTTTTTACATCCAGACTACTTATCCACGCTTTTTTATTTTGTAGTAACATTCGAAACAGTTTATGCCTTCTGTCAGAGCATTATTTATTTCTAATCACTATACTATATCAATAGAAAAATAACTTATCTAAACAACGAGGAGATGGTAATTCACTGAGTAATAATCCATGCAGCATTCAAGTCGAAAATAAATAAATCACTGTTATAAAAAAAGTATTTTACTAAAAAGATAATGATTGAAACTAAATGTTTTCTAAACGGTAGAAACGAGATCTCCAATTCAATCACATTTAATGAATAAAATCCAAGGATAAGCCAATAAGTTTTTAAGACCTATTTATGAGCACAGGAATGGTCCATTAATCTGGGTGCTCAACTTACAACCGATGAGTCAAGGGTTTGACATCCGCTTTACTTACCGAGGTTAAGTAAGTCAGTTGGTATCACTAGCCCTCACACAATAGGTACGGCTCATTGCTCACATGGTTGCTCAGCGGAATTCATTTTTGTTTTAATTCATTCAACTAACTGGTTCATGAAAGCAGAGGTAACCTAGGTAGGATATAAGTAGGTGAGTTGAGATAAACCTTAGAAAAAATTATGTGGATAATGACAGTAAATTCAACATTCAGTCTGTCTGGTACTGAGATACCAAGCAAGTGTTAACTTCAGATGCATAAGTTTTATAGCAAAACTTTGATTTATTTACAACGTATAACAACTTACCACGGCAACTTCAGATTTCCAGATACTAGTGGAAGAAGTGTATAATTCAGATAATGAGGGAAACCGGGTAATAATCGTAGCTTCACTTTTTGCTGACCAGAGAACATAAAACCTTGAATCGATTCCAACTGAAAAATTGCTTCCTAATATGTTGAATAAAAAAACGGAATTGATAACATTTTTGTAAATTACAGTCTGAATGTAGAAACAACAAAGATACCAAATGTAAACCAGTTAACATGTATAAGTTCCTGTTTTGAGGTGTGAATCAGAAGTCTATTGTGTAAAGGTTAAAAATGCCAGTGATAATCACAAAGAGCTGCAGAAGCGTTTGGAAATCTCCACCTAGCCCTGATGTGTCATTTGGAAACACTAGTCAGTAAAATTCGATTTAACGGTGGACCAATTCAAGATCATCAATTTCGAGTATATTATACGGGGCAGAAACATTGATTTCCAACATCGCAAGTAACATTTGTTTTCTTTTATCAACATTAGGTATCTAATGTGAGGTTTTACTATAAACCATGCCAAATGTAATTGTTGCTTTAAGATATTCTTATTTCACAACATATGTATCGTTTTTATTGATCAAAAAATGGTTGGGTTGAAAATCAAAAAAACAATTTTAAGAGATGCGATGAAATTTCCAGCAAGTTGACCAGTATATTGTAGGAAGATTAAATCATGAGAATTGAAAAATGAATGCAATTCAAATAACTCTGAAATTATTTGATTCAATATGAATACCTGAGGTGTGGTATTATTCTGAATTTCTTCTTATTTTGCAGAAGAATAAAGACTACTTTCATTTCTTCGAAAGTGATTAATTCTTCACTTCTGCTCATTCGACAGCAGGTTTCAAGAGACTTTAAATGAAACGCAGAAATAACTCTGTGTCCAAGATTCCTCCTGTGCGAGATCAACCAATATGAACAACACATTTCTCAAACTAACCTTCATGTTAATAACACTCCGATATGTATCGTAGTTCGTATAAGAATTTCATTCCTTCTTACATATTTTCAGTCTACAAAAAATTTCTACCAAAGAGCCAATAACACTCATGCCTAAGAAAGCGAATATCGAATTTCCTTGAAAACCCAATACATGCAATTAGTCAATGCATTCAAGCTAGTTAGGAATCGAAACGTTCATCAAAAACTATAATACCTAATAAATCACCAAGAAGCAAAAACCAATCAGTATTGGTTAATTAACTACATAACGAATGCCGCCACACCATGGATTAAACAATCCAAATTCTTAGTTTCATGAAATCAATCGACAAGAAGACATGAACCTAAGTCTCGGGTTTTTTTGATATTCATCACCAAGACGTATCTGTAACCTCAATGGAACTGAAGTCCCACCTGAAACTCGAACCCGCGTCCCCCAGTACTGCAGTCAGAGACATTATCAATGAGATATTTTCAGCCGCGACTGACCTCTCATAGGACTAGATTGTAAACATTACCAAGTTAACTGAAGGGTGATCAATTTAATGCTATTTAGTCCTAAGTGCTGACCGATCAATGTACACAGTCTAAATTCAAATACTTTAGTCGAAAGAAACAATTTCTCACACACTCTTTTCGGTGTACGGATACCAATATTTTTCATTTTTACATGAAACCAGTTTAAGAAAATGCTATTTATACTTTAATAACGCCATGTAAAACCGTCATATTTCATACACATTATTATTAGTGAATATGTAAAAAATTAATAAATTCATCGAAGGCACAAATAAATCGTTACTACTTTTTAAAATTCTCTCCGAAGTTTGTAGTTAAATTATATAGCTGTAACGTTCTCCTTAAAAAGTATTTCAAATTCACATAGCTTTTTTCAGAAGAATTTCAAAACAATGTGCATGAATGATGAATATAAGACAATGTCAAATGACATTTTATGAAACGATTCTTTTTACTACTTATATGAAAAAAAAGTAGTTAAAGTTTTAGACTTTATTTATTAAAAAAAAGCAGTCAACTGATTCAGAAATTTTAAAAGTGAGGATTTATTGCAAGTACGCTAACTGATTAACTTCATCGAGATGCTAGGAATATATGGTTGGCGACAAGTACATGGTTCAAAGCTAATTAAAATTGTGTAAATATTCACTTATCATTTTTCAAATTCGGAATAACTTAAGAATTCAGAATTCATATATTCTCATTTCCTTCTTACTTAGCTTAAATTTATCCAATGTATATATTCCTTTCGTTTTTTGACACTATTAATAAACCCAGCTAACTGATTCGATCCACTTTTGCATGAAGTTCTACATTAGTCTATTTACATGATACCATATCGATTACTTTCCAGTAACATCTTTGTCTGAGAAATGTGGTCCTGAAAGGAACGTTTGAGATTGCTGAAAGTGATCAGTTCTAAATTATTGGTTTACCTTCAGTTGGATGCCAAGAAGGATAACATGCAGATTTGCAATTTCGTACCACTTTCATTTATAAACCGTAAATTCCGCTACAGTACACTGATTTTGATACCCTATGCGAAAGATAACTTATAGAATACAATACAGTAAAACATATATGATACGATACTCATTTAATCCAACTAGTGAATGTCAAAACAATGCAATCTGTGATACATTTTGAATTGTGAGTAAACGGTACCAAAACACAGCTACTCAATCAACAGTTGAGTCCAAATTCAGAAACTCAAGTTTAGACTTATTGAAATTTTCAAATACTCTAAATGATTTCTAACACAGTACCATCCTTAAAATGAATGCAAATTATAGGCCTTTTGATAATTCATTGATATAAATTATAGTGGGAAATACTTCTGATGTAGTCAGTCCTACTGACAAATTATTAAAAGCCATAAAAGACTCATTTTATAATAAAACATAAAGGATAATATAATCTGGAGTCTAGAGGACGAGTGATTGACACACGACAGCCACACGTTTGCAACATGAAAAGACGAAGGCATGGTTACAGTCTTACAATCATGATACCACTTAATAATAGTAAAAATATAAACAGGTTCGTTAACAAGCTTCAAATCTGACTATCACATGTTAACTTAAATCTGCTTTGTACTTCACAGTCAGTCAAATCCCATAAACTGAAGATAGTCATTAGGGGATTTGAAAACGTCAACAGTATAAACTCTTAGTAACCGTGTACATTCAAAAATATCAACACTGTTTACATTCTCCAAATAAACTAGGAGAAATGGGGAGATAAAAAAAAAAGAACATCATGGCACGATAGCAGAACACCAGTTAAGTGGTTATTACTAACAGCTGACTTCAAAAATGCATTTCGTGAAGACAGATGCCTATTGAATATTATAAACACATAACACTTCATGTAAATCAGATGTGATCTTTACAATTCCAGGTACATACTTCATCTCTTCCTTCGGTTGCATCAATACTATGCTAGGTAAAGTAAGTGAAACAACCTCATCCATTACTTATTCCCTCAACTTTTATAATAGTAACCAAAAGCTGATAAGGTGAGTGCTTTCTCAAGACTGTTTTTGAGAGAAACACCTATAAGCAGTTAAAGTATTTGATCAAGTGCAAAAATTAGCAATTTGGGTTCTCAAAGGTAAAACTGTTTTGTGTGACCTGGCTTTATAGTGATTACCGAATAAGTCAATATGCGTCCATAGCATTCTGGTATGCAACGTTAGTTTGTCCTCTATTATAACTAGTGAAATGATCAAATAACACCTCATTGGGGATCCCCACATCTTACATGAAAAACAGTGACCGATATTTGAAGCGCAATCAGCAACCTTTTGCACATTCATGCACCAGGCAATGAACCACACCTCTTGTGTGAGGGTTAGTGATACCACCTAGGCTAAGAAAACCTTAGTAAGTGGAGTGAGATTGGAACCCGCGACCTAATGATTGGTAGTCATCTCCCCAAACCACTGAGATACAGCTGCTTTTATGTCCGTCCTAACAGTCAAATTTAGATGCAGCAGCTCTCTGCGAAGTTAGTCTTGTTTCTTGTCAAAAAGGATGAGAACCAAAACTTCACTATTCAAAAGTAAATAGACACAATATATCGCAGATATTTCATACTGTCTTAATAAAACAAAAACCAATTTAAGCATATTATTCAACGCGTACCTGTGGATAGATAGTTTTATTAAGTAAGATGAAAGTGATTGGGAAAGCAGTGAGTGCAACACCAAAAGCTGGCAGTTCTGCACAAATCTGAATTGGTAAATACAAAACAGGAAGTGCTGGAAGAGTGAATTTTGTTGTTGTAACACTGGGCTGTACACCATCATAATTACAGGACGATAGGCTACAAAAAGAATAAAACACAATTTCTACAAAAAAACTGAAAGATATACATGACAGAGAGACTAAGTTTTAGGAAATCTGTGCAAAACAAGAAAATTCTTATTGCTCAGCTGAATAAACAGCAGTAAACTATTTAATACATTGTAATGTTCACTTTAACCTTTTTTCCTATCTGATGAGCTTCGAAGCTATCGAACTACGATGTTAGCAAGATTCCCTTTGGTATATTGCATGAAATGAAAGCAGCGATATAAAAAATACATGTTGCTAAACAACAATGATGACGTATAACATATTTCATCGATTAGTAGTAGTAGATTTCACTAGCTAAAGAATTGGGTGTCTTACTTAGAAAATACTTCTTTAGCGACGGGTCGAAAAAGAGCCAAATGGTTCAGTAAAGCCGAAGAGAAAGGGGTATAAACCTCAGACAAGTATTATCACACTTATTTTAAAAGAAATTTTGCTCATGATTTATTTAATAGCATTATTGCATAGCTCAACTTAAGAATTTTTCATAGACCTTTCACTGTTGGCCGTACGAATCATTGTTGTGAAACAACTGCACGTCGAAGAAGTCAATTATTAGCAATTGTTCCGTTTTATACTTACAAAATCAGTTATTTCATTTTCGGGAATCATGGAGCACTGTGGATATGCAGAAATACAAGGATAGCGAGCCATTAGTTTTTATCTTCTGCTGTACAGTGGACAGGGAGAAAAACTTCTGGTTAGAGGGTCATAAATACCTCGTCTTGAGTACAGTTCAATGAACGACTCATAGACTTGGGTAAAGTGCAGCAAGTGTATGGATATTTAGATAGTGGGGTCTTCAGAAAGTCAAAACTATGTGGTAGTATAATAGCTTTATTTTACAGTTGTTGGTTCAAACACGTAATACAAGTTATATTAGTTTACTTGTCATCATACCACTGATAACTTAGAAATAATTCATCTGCATAAACCTACGTACTGTTTGACTAGTCACTAGTTTCCAGTTAAAAAGAATATTCATCGCTACAACTGTAACTGGGAAATCAAACCCTAAGTAAATTGTAGACACGTGACGAGCATAAATACCGATCTAGAAATAAATGGTCATGGTAACAAATAGTCAATAATTCACGTAGCATGACAGTGTTAGGCAGCAAAACAAAACTCAATATGTTAAGATTTAAAGTATTTGAAAGAAAATCTATCCAGTATATTGTAAAATCTGAGAAGACGAGCCAATGCAGTTCAAAGCGCTGACGTGTACGAGCAGCAACTTATTAATGTTAGACTACCTTTGGCAGTAAACGATGAGGCCATGAATCTAGAATATGGTATGACTTTTCTCAGGATTCTCACAAGTTAGTTAGCTTACCCCTTAGGTAATATGTTTCTATTAGAACTAAGGGAAATTCATTCCGAGGTCAGTCATTAACTGACAATTAATTATTATTTGGTTATATGTTCTTTTTATTTGCAACTGAAAAAATATGATGCAGAACACACATAAAGCAAAAAAAAAGACATACCGTGACCAGTGGATAATAAGAAAGCCTAAATTAATCAACTTCGATGAATTTACTGTATCGGACAATAACAATATATGACATTCAGTACAGCTTTCGGATGCTTGAACAATTACTAGAATAGAAGTACGTGAAAAAGGTATTTCTCAAATAAATTATGAATCATGTGCACTTTAAAAATATGAGAGACGCTATAATCACAATATATTAACCAAAAACCGTAATAATATATGCTGTTGAATGATATGGGTAGTGAGATGTCAAGAATCCTAATCTATGGGTTCCGTTAAAATGACTACAGTTGTGTGAATGTTCGAAAAATTGTATCAGCTGTTAGAAGCCGAGTTCACTAGTCGTCCTCCAAACTCAGTGTCTTCCTGTACAACAAATATCGATGCAAGTGAACTGTGTTACCTATACTTCACTTTGGATAGATTAATGAAATATCAATTGGTTTGATACAACGAACAGGAAGCTCTAAACCCAAGTTATAAGCTCGTTGCACTTGTCAGCTCGTGTGTCTGAAACTTCAAGGGAACTGAAGTCTTCCATCAGATTCGAACCCGCGTCACCAAGTTCTGCAGTTGGAGAGGTTATCACTGAGCTATTATGACCACGATTGATATTAGTTCCCCCAGGGTTGCAAATACGCTTCTATGATGAGTACAAATAAGCCTAAGTCTACAACCCACTGGCGATCGCTTCAACTAATTAACACCTATCTAAGTGCACCGTGCTCCATGAAGCTACTGAAATTCGGGGAGGCAGCGGGACCAGATGGAATCCTGTCGGAAGCATTGAGAACAGAGGCAGAGACAACAGCGGATATGCTCACATCACACCAATATTGCAGAAGGTCTGGAAGGAAGAGAAGGTACCTGCCCATTGATTGGAAGAAGGGCTATCTTGTCAAACTCCCGAAGAAGGGAGACCTAAGTCTTTGCAAGAACTGGCGCGGAATCAGGCTTCGGTCCACCCGGAGCAAGCAAAATATTAAGCCACATCATCCTGGAAAGATTAAAGGATGCACTGAATTCCAAACTACTACCGGAACAGGCTGGCTGGTTTCAGGAAAGACAAATCATGTGCGGACCAAATTGCAACGCTTCACATCATCATAGAACACAGCATAGAATGGCATTTAATTCTCTACCTCACCACAACTTCATCGATTTTGAAAAGGCTTTTGACTGCGTCGACCGAGAAGTAATTTGGCAGCCGCTTCAACACTACAGTTTTATTGCGATAAATCTTTATCAACCTCATTCAACAGCTATATGAAGACGCCACATGCCAAGTGATTCACAATGGGGAGCTCAGTGATGCTTTTGAAGTGGAGACAGGGAACAGGAGCAAGACAATGCTGCCTACTATCACCCATGATATTCCTGATTGTGGTCGACTGGATCATGCAACAAACAGTGAGGAGCTGTGAGAAGAGGAGGATACGCTGAACTGGAGAAAAGATCCTAGAAGACTTGGATTTCAGCGATGACTTATGTCTAATGTCTTGTCGTACAAACTAGAAGATCTACAGGCGAAAACTAACAAGTTGACAGAAGAGGCAGGGCAGGGCAGGGCAGCGAAGACCGGACTTCAAGTGAACGTAGAGAAGACAGAGGTGATGAAGATACCCAACCAACAACACCAACAACATCAACAAACTCCAATCACCACCAACGGGAGGAATCTAAAGGAAGTAGTCTCTTTCACACACCTAGGCGTGGTAGCATCGTTTCAACTACAGGTGGCGGTACAGACGAGGACGTGAAAGCAACCAGAATCGGAAAAGCAAGATAGACGTTCATTAGCCTGAAACCAGTGTTGAGATCTGCACTCAGCATAAAGCGTGAACAAGATCCAGATTTTTAACACCCACGTCAAATCAGTTCTTCTGTGTGGCTCAGAGACTTGGCGCGTTACGAAAGGCATTTCCAACAAACTACAGACATTCATCAACAACTGCCTATGCTGGCTCGTTACTGAAGCTCAGATGGTGAGAATAATAAGAATAAACAACAAGGAAGTCTGGCTGGCTGGGGACGAACCAACCAAGAAACTGTCGCTCAACAAATATGCAGAAGGAAGTGGAGATGGATTGAAGTGGCACACACTGAGAGGGCTGACTGGGGACATCACGCGTCAGGCCAGGTCCTCGAGTGGAATCCAAAGGGGGAAACGAGTAGTTAGGCGTCCGAGGTGAGGGTGACATGGAGGAGATTGTGTGAGGAAGAAATGAGAGCTTCTTGGCTGTCGTTGAGCCAGGTTTAAAATATTTCAGAGGACAGAGTGTACTGGAGATGTGCCACTGAAGCCCTATGTTCAACTAGGGACGCAAGGGATAAATAATAGTAATAATCATCATAATAAGTGCATCGTGATACTGAAAGTTTTAGCCCAGTAACCACATTGGACAATGATCAAAACGTTTTGATCAGCGCTAAGGACTAGATAACATGAAAATGATTACTGTTGGGTAACCAATCAATAATAAAATATACTGATGGATTTCACTAGTGCACCTAGTTAAGGAAAATATCAAAGTAGGTTTCGGGAATATAAATCTTCTCCCACCAAGTGACACAAACGTCAAGGGTTTCTGTCACGATATTGTTAGATTGTGGCAAAATGCTCTAGAAAGTTCTTTCCGTAGCTGCTTCTAAGTATATACGATGAATAGTTTGAAAAACCTATAGAACAAATAGTGATGTTAACAAAAGTACTACCAAAATAATCTATGGAAGTCTGATTGACAACACCAATATCAGCCATAAAATGAACAGTATATGCATATCATCAGCACTGATGACATAAGGGTAAGGTAATCGAAGAAGTCAGGCACAGAGTTTTAGGGAGAAGAGGAATTCCAGTTGATGAGGTTGTGAACACTCACTGAAACATGGCTTGAATATGCATTTCGCATACTTAGTCATCGTTTGCCTCATCGCAAAACGCTTACTGAAGTAAGTTTAAGCTAGAAAATGGCTCAGGGTGTCCAGTATTCAACTACCAGTCTAAGCCGTGTAAGGAAATACCAACTTCCCAGTTGGGCTGTACATGATAGCAGAAACTAGTGGTTGATGACTGTAGGTGGTGTGGTTGAGAGTCGATTTCAGTGGCACAGATGCATCCACACATTATATTTATGTTAGTTTTCATACTGAACTGCAGCATTGTCTCATTTCTCCTTGTTCTCTTTCCATGACTTTTCATCGCTTCTAGTTGTATTTTTCCCAATTTTTATTTTTCATCTTGATGCATTCTTACTTGGTATGCTGATATGAAGTTGTAGTGCACCTTCCTGGCACCAAAATACAACTAGGGCTAAAATAAATAGTTTAAATTAAATTAACTAAATAAATCTCTAGCTTGCCTCCGGATGCTTAGGGTGTTTTAAGTTTTGTTTTAACGAGCATGCATCCAAGCAGGCTTGGACGCCATTTTTGCGCTCCATTGTGCTGATTACCACGCACGTACTCTGAGTCCCTAGTTCAGCCTGACAAGCCAGATAAGTTGATTAAACTTTTCCCTCATTCATTATTATTACATTTACCTTAAATACATAGCTCCTTTAAATACATTGCGTATCAGTTCTTTTGCTTTGTGTTTTGTCATCAGTACTCACACGTTAGGTAAAGTACTGGTTAAGCAGGTACTAGAGCACATCAAGTTAAGTAGGGTTGATCAAACGTTACGGAATTGTAACACGCATCCCTACAAAGTAATGCAAACTTAAACTGTTACGTAGTAATGCCAGGGTCATGTGTTGATATCATCTATCTATCTTATCCATTATACTGCTTAGTCATAACAAGCACATGAGAACAGTAAATTTAATTTCAGATAATCTTCGTCTTCTAATAGCGTTATGGAAATTTATTAAAGGGACTAATTGTTTCAAATTTAATTTCAATCAGTAAAGCAAATAAATTTAAAATAAAATTTAAGAGATCCAGACGTATTTATCACTTTGAATAGTACGACAAATGATTTCCAAATACACTGACACAAGATGTTCAGTGGAAATAAACAGTATTTCAATAACAAAACAACAACAACACATTTGTTCACATTCTATTAAATCAGAGTGGTTGTAATGAAAAAGAGTGACAAAAAGTGAAATATAAAGTGAAGATAATAAAAAGATTGATGAAGAACTTACAATTCTTGATGCAAACGTTATTAGTTTCATTGGAAGACGATATCTCTTCAACCTAAAATAGAATGTATAGTAATGAAGCGTAAGAGAAGTTTCTTTCCTTTGATAAATCAAAAAAAAATAAACAAACTAAAATATGCTTATGTTAAATTCCTGCATCAATGTTTTTACCAGTATTTGAGACAACATAGTGAAGAAACATGTTTAGGCAAAAGAATAGAGTATTTAACCTAGCACTACTTAGGTAACTAAAATCCGACTTTATTGCATCATATAACTCATTTCCAATCCATTGTGTAAAATTTATCAATGAATACTTTCCAGTTTTCTGATCCCCTATATAATAGCGTATTCAGAAATATTAGCACTACTTATCGCTTGCTTATTTTCTTTATTTCCTCTTCAATTCTCTGATGGCATCATATGTCAACAAGAGTGAATTTTACCTTTTTTCTCACCATAGTTCCTATTTCTCTATTACTCGTTTTTGATGACCTTTTGTATTCGTACACTTTCCGCTTCATTTCCAATCTAAGCAGTCAAAGTTACATAAAGATGTATTTACTTGACGAAAAACTATGAAATCAAACAAATTAATTCCATTCTGTAGTCTCTTTTTTTCTTGCCTTGATATACTACATATCACTAGGCAAATCAACATGATCTTCATGAAATGACTTATTCCAACCACAGATAATAAATTTCCTGTTCCTAATTACTTGGTCGAATTCCTCGATCTCTGTTGGCGAATGGACACCTAAGCGGATTCCTTGATACTGCCTGAATATTCATTATGTTACAGTTTACTTGATGGCTAGTAATGTAGTCTGGGACGGTCGTTGCGTCCTATTTTTTCGCAGGCTTCAGCTGGAGGTACCTGCACCTCAGTGCGTGATGGATTATGTTCACACTGAGACTCGAACCCAGCACCCATCGCTTCAATCTCAAAAGCTTCATCCACTAGGCCAGTGACGCACGACAGCCACCTCTTGTGCGACGGGTACCAGTTACTGTTTATTGATACCTCTAATTTCACGTTGCTACACTGGATCGAATTGTTCGACCTCTGTTGGCAGATGGGCTCCCATGCGGATGCCTCGATAATGCCTAAATATTCATAAAGAGTATAAAAAAACGACTGGTACCCGTTGCACAAGAGGTGGCTATCGTGCCTCAGTGGCCTGGTGGATAACGCTCTAACGTTTGAAGCGACTGGTAATGGGTTCAAGTCTCACCAGAAACACTGTCACTCACTGGGATGCCAGCACACCCAGCTGACGAGTCCCAAATGGGACAAAACGCGCGTTCTAGACCTTACTAATAGCCACCAAGTAAATTGCACCAGCTGTAATTAATTTGCAAATCAGAATCCCTGTTAAAAGGGATTAAATATCCTAAACATAAAAAAGAACGACCTGTTGTAACATTATACATGTTTCAAGACGATAAATGTCAACTGACCAGTTCCAAGCATAGATCATGAAGTTTCAATCCATAAGTGGAAATATTAGTTAAAGTCAGGAGTAGCAGAAATTCTTCGTTCACTACTAAACTTGTAACAGGATGTTGCTGAAAAAGAAAATAACATACAAGGGAGGAAACGTCAGCCATAGTTCCCAGAGGTATAATATAAGTTAATGTGCATACACACTTTCAAAAAGGAAAATGAATATAATATCTCAGTAAAATTATATCAATGGTTAATATCAGGTAGTGATTGACCAATGAATTCAGTTCAAAGAACAAAAACAACTTAAAAATAACAACACCATCCAATGGCACTCATTTTTCGTTATACGCATTTGCTATTGACACAGTCTCTATGCAAACTATAGTTTCGTAAACCGAATAGCCTATTTTAGCGATCCTAAGCATAAATATGCACCGATTCCCTCTGTTTGTAAATACAACTAGTATTCTTATTTCCATAATTTAGGTGTAGAGGGGTTTGAAGCTGAAACCTACTGACTGAAAACCATCTGCCTAGACCAATAAACCGCAGCTTTCCTGTCATATCGTTACGGTTGATTTAGCTTCCCAGAATTTCACACCAGAATAAACCTGAAAAACGAGGTATACAGTCCACCTTTGTGTGGTCACTTTGTAATAAGTATCCGTCAAAATAATGACGGGGAAACAATGAGAAGGAATATGAAAGCACTAAAAAAAATCCACACAATGTACCTTTCGTAAGTGTGAAAAATCTATGAAAGAGATGTGTATCAGGAATGAATATGACTACGGAATTCAGATCTCTAGTTTCCAGTGCCATGGGAATAATGACTACCATTATACTACTAGCATTAATTTCCAATGACAAAATCTAAACACTAGTTCTTCAAAACTAAACAGTGTGACAGATTCAGAATTTGCTGTGGGTTGAGTCTGGTATGCTTTCTTCTTTCTAATTCACCTAGTATTGTGGTTCATTGGCTAGAGCAATGTGTGCCAGAATAAGTCCTCACTACACGTTCGGACCCGGCAATCGAGTAAAATCATACACGTTCTCATAATTAGTGAGGCTACATTAAACCCAGTTATATTATACTTCCTTTACTCCTAATATAATCGATAATGGGAGTTGGTGAAGCTTGGTACCTGGTAATATACAACAGCGGACTCAGCCACTTCATGAATGAACGGAACTAAACGTCTAACTTTCAAATTACAGATAATCCAAATGAGAACTCACCGTTAGTGAAAGTATTTTACAATCTAATGCAAATGCAGACGAAACAGTCACACTAGCTTCAATGTTCAGAGTGCACTGAATTTCCATTGAAGCTTGTTCAACTAAAGGAGTCAACTGATTAGCCTTTTCCTCTGTAGATGATTTTACAGACTTATGTACAATATTATATCCTGTTGTTGTTGTATCAGATGAATCCGATAAAGACAATAGGTAATCTGGATATTCACAAAGTGAGATTTTAGTGGAGAAACTCAAATGGCATAGTAAAGTTTGAACAGAATTAGAATCGTATAGGGAAGGCGAACAACATAATGAAATTGTCACACATATAGATTGATTTGATGGGATATCGTCTAACTGCTTTACAAAATATACACCTAATTTATTAGGTGAGGTATTGACATTTTTACTCGACATGAGAGTAATGAGCTGTGATGATTCACCAATCAACAAATAGTTCCCTGTAGTATTTGCATCTGCAGTAGCAGTAGTTGTTGCTACTGCAGTTGAAGGAGGAGTACCAGTAGCAACAGCTTCGACTGCATCCGTTTCTTTTGGGATTAGGCGAGCAGTTAAACTATGAAAAAGAACACGCACAAACCATAACACTGATTAAGTGCAATTAATAATAAACGAAGGGATATTACAAGCATCAAAACAGACACAAACACGCACGATCAGGCATTAATGCGTAACGGTCCCAGTTGCCACACCTCACATATCAGCACATCAAGCAGGAACCTATCAGTATGGAAGATAAAGAAATAGAGAACGCATTCAAAGACAGTAGGGAGTCATGACGAGATAATAAAGAGGAATAAGGAAATACTAAGTTCAGCATGACGATTAAGATAATGTGTGGTTACATCTGTGTCGCGAAATTCGATTCTGAGCCGTCACCTAGATTCTCCAATCACTGGTTTCTGTTATCCGGCAGACCCTAACCAGGAAGTTTACATTTCCACACAAGGCTCGGACCAACAGCCGGAGAATTTATTGACTGAGGCTGTTTTAGTTGGGTCCTTTCGAAAATTTTTCCAGCCTGAACCTACTTCAGCTAACACTATGTAACAAGGTAGTGATTAAGGATGTGTAACACATGTCCCAGGCACCAAATTCTATGAAGGTTCACAATCACATAAACTGATTAACTTTCCCCTGAAAACTCTACACCTGACTTCTACATTACTGACGCGGTGACGTTACGACACACGCGTAACGTGAAGCCACCTTATATCCCCTATCATTAATGATCATGTTTCACAACCATGTAGTAGAACAGAGAGAACTGCAGCGCAGTACACCCAACCCTTAATAAACAATTTGATATCATGGCTGTGTTATGAATAGCGTAAGTTGCCTAGAGTTAATCAGGCTTTTTGTATCCGTGCAAAGATTTCTTCCGTCATTGGCGCGCAAGGACTGGCCAGACTTCCCAGGTAAGTGTAGTGGTTTATTAGTTTTTCACTCGATTCACTATTGTTAGACAGGGTACTACTTAAGACCAATCCTGTAGTAAAAATTTTCATTTGGATGGCCAGAAATGAAGAGTAAACATCCTTTGATTGCCACACGAAATATCTAGAAGGCTCTGTATCTTTCCAGCGTCTTCATCTAATAGGACTATGTCAGTTGCGTACTCTAGAAAGACCAAGGATTCTCCCATGACAGGATTAATCATTGTGGAATCAGTCGACGAAAGGGAGATCTCCATAAGTACGTTCATGGTAATGATACTACCTAGCTGCTCAAACATACACTGGGAGGAGTAAGTGAACTATAAAGTCGAGGATGGTGGAGCATATCTCTAAATGGCCAGGAAAACAATTACATTCAAAAGAACAAATACAAAGGACAGACAGATGTCATGCTGTACAGGTAAACACATTTCGAAAACAGGTAAGAAGATCGACCCCAAGACAGCATTCAAAGCATTATATAAAAGCCATCACGACCGTGTATTTAGGTTTATTGAACGCTCCTTAGCCTTACGTAAGTTTAAAGCCCCTTTTTGTATTCAAAAACAATTTTTCCTTAACTTAAACCTTGCATGGTAATCTTTGTCTCATTTTAATCCCAATGTGGGTACGATAATGTACTATCCCTCTTTATTACCCTGATATTTTTCAAATCTTGTATTGTCTTAATTTATCTACCTCCCCCCTTATTTTCACCCTTCGTGTAAAGTGCGTTGACGAGTAAATGTGTAACCAGATTGTTGGAAATGTACTGAGCAAGTACATCACATTTCTTAGATAACCCTCGTCTTCTCATTACATTATGCAAATTCATCAAAAAGACTAGCTGTTTCAAATTATGATTTTCCTGTGTTTATTAATAGGGGATCTCTCACCTTTCTTGAAGACTGGGATAGTTGACACCAGTCAGAGAGCACCACATTTGACGCCCATACATTACCCAGTACCTCAGTTACTTTGGATAAAAATCCCATACCACCTTCCTTGCCAGTACTAGTGCATCTGATCCTGCTGCCTTTCCTCGTTTTAGGTTGCTTACAACTTTCCTGACTTCCGTAAGTGCCGGGAGTCCTATCTCGATGTTGCATTTAGGATTCGACAGCTTAAACAACTGTTTATTTCTATCTATAACCGCCGCCTTTTTCATCTCTTTAGTCCCCACTGCCCACCACTGCTCACAGTCATTGGGTAGACTTTTCGTCAGTCTATATTTGAGTTACTTCCGCTTCTCTTTAGGCTCGGAGCCTTCACGTTTTCTTCGTGTGCATCCATTCATTCAGAAAAAGCAAAGATCCACTGGTCCTTCTTAACCACACTCTGCGAGTTGGCTACGGTTTTCAACACTGTTTTTACAACAGACTAAGGATGGCACGAAGCGTTATCTAGATGAGTGATTTTGTTCTGCACCGATGACTGTTTAGCTAGTTTCTGGGGTCCAAGTCGGGTAGTGCATTTTTTGCCTTGGCACTTTAAATACAATATCTACGCCTGGAAGACTGCAGGAACTAGCGATCGAATCTCCAGAAACTCGAAGGTTGGGTTTCATATATTCCATCACGCTGGACCAGAGAAGGGTGGGCGAATAACCGTACTTGGGTACTGTATGTATGTCTTGCAAACAGCACAAAGGCATAACCCAATGAAGGGTTAGTTCAGAAATATACAGCTCAAATGACATCTGCTTGAAGCCGAGCACAAACAACCTATCCAGAAGTTTGATAACTTATTTTGGTTTTTCCAAATTCGACTATGCACCCATTTCGGCGGGCCCAAGTATGTCGCAGGGTAGTGGCAGTGTCCTACTTTTAGGGTTGACGTTTTCTAACCACCTCTTTTCCTAAGGAAAGTAGCATCAGCATGGCATTCCTGGTCATCCAAAAGAAACACTGCTTACTACTCTTATGTCCTGCCCAGTCACCAGTAAGACTTCGCCCTCCGACCCCATTCATAACACAAATTCTTAAACTATGACGGTAATCGTTTTTGTCTCACCACTTTCCCACAGACCTTATTAGTGTGACCGGTTCTTGAGGTAGCAAGCATTCCACCAAAAGAGCATGCTGGGTCATTGTGATATGTAAGCTCAACCACCAAGTCAAGATAGTAGCTATCGCTCAGGACCGGCAATGCAAACATAAGACAGCCGCTCAGGCAGCAATGCTCATCCAAACTTTGGAATGTTTTATTTAGACGTGAAAACCAGTTAGGAAATTAAGAAATAGGTCATTCGCCAACCTCTGCTTCAACCATTTATCGAAAATACAGCACTAAGTCCATATACCGAAGTTATGTGTAATCTATCTGATTAATGATTAAAATGTCTACTTATTAAAAAGTGTGGGTTTGAGAAGATATCAGGAAGAAAAGCCAACCAACCAACACACAGATAATCTTATAACAAACTAAAAACGAAACCACAACAACCAACAAATTCCAATTGTATTAAGGAGTATTCCTACCACTTTTATATCATCCACCTATTCAAAATGTTGTATAAGAGGATAGTGAATACAAAGGGCCAGACTAGCAACTAATGAAACAGAAAGACAGGTAGATGAAACCAACGCAGAGCCTCTCAACCAAGTGTATCCGTTCGAGTTACGACAACTCATAGCAGTATACAAAGAACATGTAGGGAGAAAAAAAGTGATATCAAAGTAGATAACGTTGTGTGAGACAATAAACGATTTGAAGATAAAGGTTAGCGCAAATATTCAAGCTCCGGAAGATGGCAAAGAGTTAACACGTCTGCGCCAGTGTGACCGACTTTCAGTCATATCACTAAAATCATCAACCACAGATTCCTGTGGTGTCGGGAACCCGAGCCAGGCAGTTTACGTCTCTATACATGACTCAGACCAAGTCACAGAATTCGTCGACTAGTGCCGCGTTTTGATCTGGCTACAACTAATGAAATAAGTAATTGGGTTTCTTTATCTCATTTTTAGTATTCCCATAAAATAAACTCATTAGGAAAAAGGCAAAAGGCAAATCAAACTAATACTTTCAACAGGGAAGTTCTATGTTCAAGAGATCCCTTAAAATAGTTTAGTCAATAACTTTTGAGCCATTTGCATAGGGATTGAAATCCTGTTAGTAAGCGTCTAGCAGTGAGACATAAGGAGACAAAAAATCACAGCAAGTTTTGGTACAAAGCAGATGTTATTGCATAGAAAGATAAGCGGTTGATGCACAGATACTTATATACTTATTCCATGTTACTAATGAAATAAAAAAGTAGAAAACTGGGCATTGGAAAACAACACTCACCTCAGTTTTGTGCAATCACTCTGAGTGGGATTACGAATAGTTAAACTGATCTGTGAAATCTCATTGGCCAATATAGAAATATCCTGCGGCATAATAATTTCCAAACTGGAAGACGGATGATGCATTCTAAATACCAGACCAATAAAAAGAGTTAGTCAAATATGTTAAACTAATGCATACAAATTATACAAGGGTGTAACACATTCACAGTTACAACTAGATGTATACATTATGCAGGTTCTGTAAACTTCGGTATACTATAAAGCGGACTTTGTTTCACCTGACAAAAGAAATTTAAAAGTCGAACAAATTTTCTGAGGTAGAAATTTTAAAACGCTTAAACATGTAATGAAGTTTAAAAATTTTTCATTGACTTTTAATGCGAAGAATTCTCAAAAAGAAACTAGTCTTCGACTCAGAAAAGATGAAACGCTTCTATGAGAAGTAAACATGGTATTACGAATTATCAGAGAAACAGCGTAACACAACCACCTAAACCAGAACAGACAATAAAGCTGGAAGTGACAGCGGATGCTCATTAATGAAATTAGTGGTAGCATTGCAAATAAACAGGAGTTTTACGGGTTAAACATTGGACTCCAACTACGACTGAAGAGGAGTGTACGCACCATATGACTATCCTTGGCAGGACTATGGGTGCACAGTGTTGAAGAGATGTAGACTAAGACGAAAAACCTGTCTATTGCTCCTAGGTTTGCAGTGGTTATCCGACTGAAGTCAATCCAAGACGAAAACATCTTTAAAAACACATCACTTCATCGAAAAACAAATAGTATGTGGTTATCAGAATACAATAATTCAAATATGATTTTTCAAGCAATTGTATAATGCTGAAAATGATGTGAGACATATAAGCCATCAAAATGACCAGAATGATATACACTTTAATGAGAACATGTTCAAATGACATTGTACTAATGACAAATAGAAATTTCAAGAATATCAGTAATCACAGATTTATACAAAATAATAAAGTAAATTATGACCATTGTAACTTGCTACTTCAAATCCATCAAATTACCAAATTAATAAACCTCAAAGACAAAAACATAATGTCCTTTTAAATCTAAAACATACAGTGGATATCATCCATTAATTTACAAACAGTAACTAACGCTTAAGAATACACAGAAATTCGTATATATATATATATATATATATATATATATATATATATATATATATATATGACAAATTTGTAAGTGGATATCGAAGTAAATATGCAGGAATAATCCAATGAACCATTTAAACAATGTACACAATTTGAGAGAACTCTCTTTTCGATGTGTTAGAATTTCGAATATATGAGGAATAAGAACCTAGGTCCAGGGCTTCATGCCGATTGCCTCCAACCAACATCTACTAATGTGCACCGCGATGCTGAGCTTCCTAGCTTGGTTGCCACATTGCAAATACGATCGATAGAATTCGATCTGCACTCAGGACTAGACAACATGAAATTGGTTGCACTCCCGTGACCAATCAATACATGTAAGCCAGTCCTACAGGAGGTCAGTCGCGGCCCGAATAGCTCAGTGATAAAGTCGCTGACTACAACACTGGGTGACGCGGGTTCGAATCTCGGGCGAGACATCAGTTCCGTCAAGGTTGCAGATACGCCTTGCTGACGAGTGCCAAAAAGCACGAAACCTAGGTCCAGGGCTTCCTGCCGATTGCCTCCAAACAACTAACAGGAATAAGAACTGAATTCATTTCGTGAGAAAATTACCCTACACTAAATCTTTACCTAACCACTTGGAAACATGAATTTATCATAAAACAAAAGACGTTTAGCAAAGAATCACTCTATTTAGTGATATCGTTCTTAAGCTGAATGACCAACCGGTTCGAAGTTTATAAGCAATACGCAGATGATACCTTCATCGTCTCCAATATTATGGATAATCTAGAAAATTTCCTGTCCCAATTTAATAGCTGCCACCCTTTATATTACATTAGAGTAGGAACTTAATTCTAAGATATCCTTTTAAGATGCGCAGCTAAAAAGACGAGACAATGGATTACTCTGAAGGCTTATCCATAGAAAACTCACATGGAACGGACAATCTACGAATTTTTATAGTTGGGTGCCTCCATGCACCAAGCAAAATCTAATTCGCCCTGTGTGCCATAGGATCCACACTATCTGCAGTCCTGATGCTTCGGAAGGTGAACCTAATTTTTTCAAAAATGGTTCAATTGAAAACCAGTATCCCAAGCGTTTCAGTGCTAAAACTATAATACTGAAAGCAAATAATCATTCCACTTCTATAGCTCCTAAGAAGCATTTTTTTCATGGAGTTTACAGTCCAACGGAGACATATCAGCAGATAAATTGAGAAACCATCTGGCATAATCATTGAGAAAGACTTTCTATGCTCCCAAACTCAGACTAACTTTCTTCACTTACATAATGCTCCGATTATGAATAAAGGATAAGCTAGCTCCCTTGGCCAACTCGATGTGTGTTTTTCAATTCACCTGCTCTTGTGAAGTAAGTTATATTGGCCGTACTCAGAGTTCGCCTTCCAAACGCACTTCAGAACATATACCAGCTTGGTTCCACAAAGGGGGAAGAAGAATACTTCACAGTAACCAAGACTTCACAGCTCAATTTTAGAACATTTGATCGGTTATGACTACACAGTAAATGAAGAAAACAACTTCCATGTCATTTATAAAGTTCGTGCAAATCTCGTGAAAGGTGTAAGCCAAAAACTTCTCCAGACTGCGGAAGCCATGGCAATTAAGCTTGAACTCTGCGTTCAAAAATAAATTGTCCAGTCACTTGAGTTGCAATGGAAATGACCTATGAGAATATTTTTACCTTCAAAAATCTTTCCATTTGGATCTTCTCATACATAACGTTCCTCCACCCCTATAACTCTGATTTCTTTTTACATTCACCGTGTTACATCATTTAACTTAGTAACGAAATATTAGTTCGGTCTTGATAAGTCTTCTTCTCATTACTATTTCAGACATTACGTAATTCATTTTTTCAATCTCCTGATTTAGAATCAAATCTGAACTTCGTTCAAAGTATTTTATGAAACATTACTTTTCTGCTACTATGTGAATAGAATATTTACATTTGATTGTACAGCTTGAGAATGTTATCGCTGAAAGGAGTGACTCTTCCCTAAACGACTTTCGTTTTATGACTTAATGAGGATTTCTAAATAACTAATAAATTTATCGATACAAAATCAAGAAACTATTCAAAACTAAATAAAAACCTACTCAGTTCGAACTCTGTTCCCAATTATATTCCAATCTGGTGGAAAATTGGGGAAACCATGATTAATTTCAAATCCATTTTGTTCAATTCTAAGAGGATTTTTCTGAATTTGACGTTCTGGGATTGAAAGAACAACGTCTTTACTCCATAATCCACAATTATTATGAAATATTGACTTTAGACTGCTATCAAGTTGCTTTCTGTGACCATGGTGTTTATGACCAATGATTTTGCGATCACTAGAAAAAGAATTATAGTCTGATGGTGTACTCCACTGCCACGAAACTGTACACAATATAAGTTCTTTGACATCTTTTGCTTCACAACCAGAATCAGGTGGTAACAAACCTAACTGGACTGAATCAACCTACGTTTAAAATGATAGAGAAAAGGGGAAGAAAGCGCTAAACTTTGGTTATAATAAATTGTGCGAATGATGTGAGCTGATAAGGAGAATAAAATAAATTCAAAGCTTGCAGTGTTTAACGCTGTCACAAAACAAACAAACATAAGGCAGTTTTATTTATTAATTTCTAATTGTCTCTAACCGTACTAATTATCATTCCAATTTTCACCAACGGCTTGAAATTACACCCACTTTTCTGACCTGATAATTGCCATAAATAAAATATATACTGAACTATTTTGAAATCATGAGATCATCTGAAATGACAAATAGAACTTGGATTGTTAATTAAATGTCAGCCATAAAGTAAAGCATCATTGAAATAAAATTCCATCATTTCGCTGCTTTAATGCTTAAGTGACTAACATAAAAGGAAGTTGATGGTGCTTATCAAACTTTATATGTTGAGGCTTGCAACGTCTTTACACCAAAACACTTTATTTCGAATATTTACTTTTTGTCAGGTTATCCTGTTAAAAAATTTCATCTCTATTTATACCACGACTATTCGATTCCACAAAGGCTTTTCAACCCAAGTTTAATTAAGTAGAAAGGCAAAAATATCGACGAAGACTTACTTTTATTTGATTCCCAAGTATTTCAGGATTCAGACAAAGCAATACCACTTTGAATTTTTCTTTTGAAGTCAGAATAAATCTAGATGACCAAGTTTGAGAGATTTGATGAGTTGAAACATGTGCCAGTGAAGGTTTGTTGATTACATTAGATGATACATTCATGGAAGTTGGACATTCAACCTAATAAGAAAAAGCTTTATAACAGTTTATCTAGCGCAACTCAGTAACAATTTAATAACAGTTTTTTTTTAAAAATGATATAATTTATCTACACAAGCCTATACAGACCTCTAACTCGTTCCATTCTCATAGACATCTAAAGAAATGTATGTGTGCTGTGTGGACAACTAGCATAAAGTCACTGTAAATCGATCACTTAATGAACAACACTTAAATGTTCAGAGGGGTGAAGCTTAAAATTGATGCAGTGGGAAAGTAACACTGATAACACAGCCTAGCACATTACATGACAAGAAATATAGGTAAAATATAGGTATATATAGGTATATAGGTATATATATATATATATATATATATATATATATATATATATATATATATATATATAGTGAGAGAGACTAAGGGGTAAGTAATAGATTATAGCCACAAACCCACCAATACCTACTTTAATTTTGAAAACTGCATGGCATCATAAACCCTTATACAATTAATGCACTTCATAACTTAGTACATAAACGTGTAACGCGCTGAGTTGCAATTCTATTCATTCCTCACATATTCACAAAGAAATGCACGTTATATATTATTATGGTAGAGTACTGACAATTAATTACGAATACAATAACGAAAGAGTGACGCACTTGAAGAGGTAACTTAAAATTAAGGGAGTAATCTCAAAAGAAGTCATATGTGAAGACCACGAAAACGTTTCAAAATGGATATGCAGTACTGTTCCATTTTTAGTGGTAACCGCACTGTGTACTTCAGTATTAAATCGAATCTCATATGTAACTGAAAATGCTGATATAATAAACTTAGAATATCTATCAATTTTGACACTGCTGAACCGGATTTATCCAAAGTGCAGACAACCAATGTAAATGAATAACAGAAGTAAGGATGTTACAACGATAAATCGAAATAAACGCATGAACACTTGGTATGAATCACTTAAAAGTAAGCCAACTTAGAGTACCTTGTGTGAAAAGTTCACAGTGACATGATGAACAAGAATAGGTAAGGGAGCAAACGACCTGTAAATGTAAACAAGAAAACAGACACAAAAATACCATCATCACTATGGTAATAAAGGTTAACATATTACAACCTACTGTCAAAAAGCAAAACTGTTGTAGTTCATTTGATAACTGATATCAACATTTCAATTTTATTGTTAATGTACAAGGCAATCAAATAGGTAACCATGTAACAACACTTCCATTGAGTTAAAAATTCAAAACGAATGGATACAGACCGTTGGATTGAATGCTAACTTATTAATGTATCTATTACATCGCAATAAAATAACTGCGTAGCCTTGAGTTTTTTTTAAAGAAACGCTTTTAGTCTTTGCTTGTACAATAACTGACTACTATAGCATATGCATTGATGTCCAACAAAACACAGAATACAGCAGTGATCCAGCCTAATCTAGACAGCCAAATCGCGAAGAATGGAACTTGATTTAATACCGTAATCTAATAATTGACTACCATATATATATATATATATATATATATATATATATATATATATATATATATATATATATATATATATAGGTTTGTAGGGATTGGTTGATCTCGGAGTTTTCATATAGAGAATCCCTGAAAAAAACCTGGAACTACTGAACAGCTGTTCTCCATCCTAATCTGGAATTCCTCAGCAGTGCACACTGATAGAACTGAGAGAGATCAAGCCCGATTCTCACGGTACGTGCGTTACCATTCAGTTTCTGGGTTACAACCCGATAGTCCATATTTTCTTACTTCTGTCAGTTTGCAACAATTCTGCAGTGTCATCAGCAGGCATTCATCTTACTCTCATCGCGGTTAATTCCACCAGTGACGACGTCGTCACTGGAAAGCCACCTTGAAGCCAATAATGAGCATTGAATAAGAATTCAACCGGTGGATTGTAGGAATCCATTGATTTAAAAGCAGTGTTCATTATATATATATATATATATATATATATATATATATATATATATATATATATATATATATATATAGCGCAAGAAATGGCTTCTCGAAAGTGAAACGTAGAACTAATGGAAACATACCTCAGAAAGATAGCTAACTGTACCGGTTGGCCAAATGTATATTCCACCTGTGTAAAACATACTTTGCACTGAACTGCAAAGAAAAGTACCAAAAAAATGAGAGTATTATTGCACATAAACCACTGGTTATTTAAGATGTCTTGCTTAAACTTCCTCATAAACTGCAAAACGTTTCTGATCACTTAATTGCCTTCATAGTCATCAACCAGTATAGATTTTAGGGCATTAAAACGTATGTCACTTAGTGACACATGCACAAGACAACGATTTGTTATTTTTGTTTACTCTGAAAAGCAACGTAACAACCTGGTGTAGGCTGATATGCAACACTTCGAACCACATTCATTTTGTGTCGTTTAATAACTGACTAGTGTTTAAATCGTTGTGAGATGTAGCAAGATTACTACTATCTATGAGCGACCGGGTAAAAGTCAGGGATTTCTTCGCATAAGCCGAAACTTGATTTCTGTACATCAAGCATGAAACTACTTCTAGTAATGGTGTTTTCAGATGGTAAGAAAAATTTCCTACAGCTTATACAAAAAAATCATTTACTTGAATGAGGGGAAGTTAGAGTAAATACTTAAACAACCATGCTGATATGACGCATAAACGGAGATAAATTGATGTATCTCAAGTTATCATTAATCTTCATCCATTTAGGTCCCTTGGTAAATTTGGATAAAGCAAGAAGGACGAAGTTTCCAGGATGAAATGATTTCATCATTTTATTTTACGAATACTCTTCATCTGCATACAATCTGGAAGTGTAATGGTTATTGGAATATAAGGTTTCAACGCGATTCCTGTGTCTACAAGGTGTCTGGGTATTGAACTGGTTGGAGTTTTCCTTCCTTGCAGGCACGGATTCTTCGGAATACCCTCAGAGAGGCGAATAGATGCCCTTCCTTCTGTCCTTCCAATATACTTGCTACCACAAGTGCATGTAAATTCACATAAATACAGTTAGAGGTGACATGAGCAGAGTAATTATCCTATTTGAACTCGTTTAGCCAGCATGCGGTATTGTACATCGATACGAGTTAAGCTGCAGGAAAGCTCCTTCTCAGTTTTCCTTTGATTCTTATGTTTATTGGCTGGGATACTACATATCTCTTGAACGTACTAGTAACCATAGCACTTTTAGACTCAAGAGGATTCGTGAAATAAAACATGATTTTATTCTGCAAATGTCGTCATTCTTGCTTTATCCAAATTTATTACAAATGATTATTAATCAATCAAATCAGACAGTCATGCGATCAAGTGACTTTATGGAAACTCCTAAGTAAATCCCATTTACTCGAAACGTTCGCAGCGACTTCCAATTTCTTGCAGCTTGCTTCTGTACCACAAATAAAAAACAGTTATAATAAAATACTTATAGCGAACATTTGGGTGCATAAACCTACGTTGTCACAAGCATGAATCCATGAGTTATTACACCAATCACTTCATCACTTTAAGTATACAAATAGACATATAAATGACAGAATCAAACTGTTATGAAAACAGAGATATAATGTTTCCTAGAATGCCATCACCACTACAGTCTAAAGCACACCTGGTGGGTTCATTGAGTAGACCATTTCACTTTCAATCGTTAGGTAGCAGGTCGGTATCCTAACTAATATATCACGTTATTGGAAGTGACTAGTATATAAACCTGTATGCAATTTAAGAGTTACACTCTTCTTGTATCTAGTAGCCGCAGATTCAGTCAAAAAATTAGACTCACCTGTTGACAATATATTAATTCCATTTAAGCCACAGGGTATAACTTCCAGTTGCATCTAAATAACGAATACATCGCTGTGTTTTTAGTCATTACAGCTTTTCAGATCGTCATACTCAAGTAGTCTAAAACTGTGTAAATAATAGCTAAATGGCTAATAAGCAAACATCAGATTTCTGGATTCAAATAAATATGCTTTTCAGATTTATTTTCCAGTGTGTAATGGCGTCAGTCGATGAAGTCAGTGATTGTTAGCTTGAGGCATGTAGAGATAAGTAGAGTTGGAGTTCATGTGACATCCAAAATCACAGACTGAAGACTCTAGGTAGTATGGCTCAAAATCGATGTTCCTGGTGCAGATGAATCCAAACATTATCATAAGCTTCAGCATTATATCGAATTTCACTTTGGTTTCCTTCCTTCATGATCTCTTTTTATGACTCTCTATCAATTTGATTAATTTCTTCGTCATTTCTCTATCTTTATTATTTCACCTTCTGTTTGGTGTGCTGATCTTTAGTGATAAAAGATCGCGTCGCTACACAGTAATGTCAAGTTCTATGTTGTTGCTGACTGACTGTTACATATACACAACCTTTGAAAAATAAGTGAACACACTTACTGCATGTATTCAGACGCGTAATATCCAATAAAATTCTACAATTTGCTCCCAAACATGGGTCTGTTTTGTTTTTTGAGGGGTCACCATGCGAGATTCTTTCCAAGTTCATTGCGTCTTCATCAGCCACTTCATTATGTATCGATTCTACTAAGGTATTTAGGGTATTATGCATTAGTATTTCTGACTGCTTCCTCCATCCATCTTCAATTATTTTCACAGTGTGATCAAGTTCAGGTGCAAATACAATAAGATTAGGTATACCCGTCTGTAGTAACAAAATATTCAACACAATGAAGGGTAAGGTGAGAAAATACTTTCAAGCGATAATGAGGCAGAGTACTTTTAAAAACAGTATGCAGAAGTTAAACAACAACAAAGTTTCACTTATTATGGTGTGGTGACTGAAACCGAATTAAAAACGAATAACCTGCAGAAAAACAATGTTTAAATAACTGATGCACAGAAGTCATATTATAAAGATACTTTAGGAATAAACTACCAGCTGACAATTGTATAGTCATCTAGATTAACCATGACCCAGACAGAGCGTGAAATTCTCACTTTCAGAAGTTAATCCGTACTGAATAGATCGTCACTGACAATGATTTGAGAAAACCAGACAGACTTTTTTAATTTGAACTAGTATATCCAGTTACATTTCAGAGATCAGTTGCGCCCCTGAATGTCGAAGTATACATGCTGTAACAAGCCTTTCTGAATTAAGACGTGAACAAATATGAAGAAGATAAAGAAGTTATACAAAAACATAGTTAAATGTAGCAAACAATTTTCCTCTCTCATTTTTCCCTTTACTGTGGTTGTCATATAAGATTATCGAGTATCATGACTTCAACTATCACGATACGAGAGAAAATATATCGTGTCAGTAGGTAGTGACCCGAGATATTCACCTTCCATTCTACCTCAATAAATTCATAAACTGACTGTAATTTCATTTATTCCAGTTTGTGGCGTTATTGGCAAACAATATTTGACTAAACCTCAGGACTACTTACTGAATGTCACATTCTCTAGATGGGAACGATTCTCCATGAACAGTGATAGCCGACAGCAGTGAGCCATCAAACGCCGTTAGTTCAAAGTGAACATAATTCTTCTGTATACAACAAAACCATAAGCGGTTAAAAGCAGACAGCAAGAAGCCTTGGATACAGGATCCATACATAATGACTCTGATCAGTTAGGCGCAGCTGCTCCCCAGTATCTGTCACCCTTTAGAAATCCTAACCCACTTCACCCAGTACTACAGTCAGAGTAATCATTACAGAGATTTCCGGATCATGACCGACTTGTATAAGTACGTAAGATAAGTTAATAAGTCGCCGTAGAGCAAGCAATGCAATGCTTTTTCAGTCCTATAAACTGACCGGAAAGTTTTAGGCAAGTTTGCAATATAGTCGCCAAGGCAGAAGAATCATCATCGCATTGCATTTGTTGATTATTTTTTTGCGGTTCAAGACAATTGACAGGAAGCCATGATCCTAGATTTCGCTCTTGTCACTGATTGTCCACAAGGTGTATTGCATCTCTGAGGCGAAATCAGTTATTTCGAAGTCTTAAAATGCATAGTTACTTCTTCTTGCCATTACAACCATACTGTACTTTGATCTTCGAAGTGAATTAAATTTCATGAATTCGTTCTCCCACTTATAAACACACCTGGTGCTAGGAATTCTATCAGCCTTTTATACAAGGATTATGACCTAAAAGGTGTTTGATATTTAAGGAATTTACTTGTTAGGATAATAGTATGGAGAAAAACCGCTAAAAAGTTCAGAAAAAAGGGTTGAGTTTAATTGTGTGTAAGTTAGAATTGCTATAATTTCCACTGATACTTTAAGCTACATATCAACAAGAGAAGAGATAATACAGTGGAAATAATAATACAAGAAAGATAATATGAAAAGGCCGTAAAAAGAATGAAGTTATATGGTAATATGGTAATCAAAAATGTTGGTTGAGAATAAAATGTAGAGGTAAAGGTCAATCTCATCTCATACCAAACAGATACAGTATACACAGTATAAAGAAAACTTTCTGCAGGTGTTTCAGTTTACTACTCAAACTTTGATTTAAAAACTATGCCACAGCCATTATGATCATGAGTATTCATTATTTTTTATGAGGAAAATACAACCATCTTTTAAATACAAGTTTTTTATTTATACTTTGTGATGTACAGTAATTATACACGATAAGCAACAACTCACCTTAAGAAAATCAAAAGCAGCCTGTTGAGCTTGTATTTTCTCAGAGGTCGGCATCAGACTATCTAAAATACATGGAAGAGTCAGAAAAAATTATTTTTCAATATGCAAAATACTAGAGTAGAGGTGTGAAATAAAGGAAAGAAAGCAAATAAAACATTTTAAATGGCAATATTACGGAATGAACAATGATGAGTTGTTCACATAAAACAAAACAATAACAGTCTATTTTGACTTTATTCTATTCATCAATGATAAGTACGTGTCAGTGTATATACAGTCCCATTTACTTAAGAAGCTTCAAACATCAACATCTACACGATAAATACAATAACTGTTGAATCACGTCGAGTTATAGTGAATTTATGTACATCTTGATTCATAGTATCATACTTTCCAATATTATTAAAACTGCCAGTTAAATGTAGTTTTTATTGTCTCGTGTTTAACAATCGATATACCGCTCTGAAACTTCATCCGCTTCAACACAGAATGCTGATCGTTTATGTAATTTAAAAAACTCGATTGAGTCTATCTAAATGCCTTTTTAAAAGATCACATTCTCCTTCTATGTGTTATTACTCATGTTCACGATTAGTTTTCATTTCAAGAAGTTCAAAAATTAAACTCTCCAATGAAAGAGTTGAAAACAAACCAGGCTTTTCATGACTTATTCGTCTTTGCTGTTCATCATAGTCACCATCATAATCATCATTATTATCATCACAGAAAACTAGCTGATCCAAGTCAAGGCGACTACCAATAAATGCTTTCTGTACTTCTCGAGTAAATCGAGTAACATTAGAATCAGTGACATTGCATATAATCAGTTGAGATCTTTGAATATTCTTCGATTTTTTATGAGAAGTAAAATATGAAAATTTCAAGCATTTTAGTAGTAGATTACATAAAAAGCATGAAAATGACGGGTGGATGGATAATTCGGGAGATTCATAGAGAGGATATGTATTCAAAGATTCCGTAGTTTTTTTCATAGTCTTTACTTCTGTTTACTTAGTTTTACCAACTACACATCCAACTATTGTACGCACATTAGGATAGGTGTTTATGCATAGTATTTCTTCTGTTATTTAAACTGAAAACTTTCAACGACTGCAGATTAAGGGGGAAACTGCATGTATTTTAATAATCACATAAGGTAGATAGTGCAAAACACACCGTGAATATTTTAATTTTTATATTAGACAGGTAGATGCATCTTTGCATAACATAACAATCAACGTAACTACTTATTATTAATCGTCAATGAAAGCGAAATGTGTGGAATCAGCCTTTGCTATACATTGTCTAGTCAATATAAAGTATTGATTTGGCATGTGATTATTATTTAAGGCTTTTCCAAGGTAATACAGATGACAACCTGGGCTGGTTTGCAGTATAACCACACGAAGAAAATTATTTTGCCAACACCTCTAAATAAGGCCGAATATGGATTGACATATCGACATAAAACTTCTTTTAGGTGCAGTTTTATTTTTCCTAACATTTCTGGTGTATCAGTACTACCCACATTGAAGTAAACCAAAAACGTTTGTGTTTAAATGACCGGCTTTCAAATATAAATTAAGATAAAATAACTCTCAGTTATAACTCTGTACTTCAGACATTTATATGAAGGATATAGTCTGCAGTGTGCTACCATATTCATGTGTGCTAAATACAGTTTCGACAATCACTCATCAACGTTCATCCAGAAGTAATGAGAACGTATTCAAGTTGCCAGAGTAGATAAACCTATAGCTTTGTATCCATTAGTAAGAATTTATTGACTGCCTACTGACCTTTATATTACAGATAGTTGACTGATTGTCATGTAAAAGTTAGACAGTTATTGTACGCCAACCACACCTTGGCAAGTGACGGCTTGGGTGCATTGATTTCCTGGAATTCTGGTAGTGTTGCAGTTGGTCGGCATTTCAACTGATTGATACTCACACAATTGGGCCTCGGTATAATCGTCGTCTGACTTCAATAAGTATTACTGCATCACGCTATGAGATAAGGTATCGAGTTCGGGCACCTAGGCTAATGTACATACATATCATGTCAATGTTTGTCAACTCCACGCGGATACAACGGTAAAAATGCTAATCTATAGAAGAAGGATAAGCTGTTAAATTATATTTACTTTCAACTCTGATTCATTAGACAGACCGAATAAAAATTAGAAGTATAACATGTCTTTTGATAAAAATTTAATCTCGTTGCAAAATTCTAAAACCAAACTCACTCGGACCAAGAAGTTCCAAACAGGATGAGAGAAATATTGTAGGCTGAGCGACTAAATATGCACATCTGAAATATTATGAAAAGTTTAATGTAATGCAAAGATTTAATTTTACTCAAATGTTGAGTGAAGAAGGATAGTCATTTATCTTGACAAAAAAAGTAATGAAGTGAATTCTTCAAAGTCAAAACATCCACCCACTTCTACTCACCCCCTAACGTGAGGGTTGAAAGGAACACCACTTTCAGCAGGTGGATATTTCTTTATGTGATCAGAAAATATTATCCTTCCTGAAAGTCTTTTAACGCCAACCCATTTAATATTTCTGATGTAAGTAACGATATGAAAGTTACCCGAGAAACTTTTAAGTAATTCCATCGTAATACAACACTATTTTCTTGCGTTTTCTGAAGGTTATTGCAATACGTATGTATGAGAATACTACTTCCATGATTAATGAATTGAAATAGTCAAAAATTAATATTTTCTCATCACTACAAAAAATAAAACTCATCCTAATCGGATGATAACTATCAACAAATCACTAATGAATGAACAACACAAGACTAAACTGCTGAATTGTATCGTGTTTTATACAGATGTGACACGGATAACATGATTATGAATTGCTCAATAGATAGTGAACAGTTATTCATGAGTAATGGGTTCGGAACTGCATTCCTGCTGTAATAATGATAATCAGCCAAACCGTCAAGAAGGTACATTTCACTAAGGTATTGAATATTTAAATTCAATTAACCTCAGGATCGCTAAAAGATGCTTATTTCTTTAAGATTTGGTTCTCGTTTAAAAGATTTTGAGATCATGAGATTAAACTGTGCTCTTGTTTACAAATCAGCTACAACATAGGGTTCTACCTCTAAGCGCAAATCAAATTTTACTGATTAATGAACGTAATTAATTCACTAAAACACATATATACAGAGGCAGTATTCAGGTAAATCTCAACAAGGATAAAGCATAAACCCACATGTTTCTGAGGGTTGCCTTCAGATACTTAACCAGAAACAATGTATCTCAGTGCCAATGACATTCATATCATTTAAAAAATTCGTTCCTATGTGAGAGCTTCTAGATTGCATCACATTATTATTATTTATTTAATTGTCCTTTAGGTTCCTAGGGCTTCAGTAGCACGTTTCCATTGCACTCCGTTCTCTGCAGGATTATATCACGTGATGGTCATAAATTTCAGTCAGTGTTTTGAATCTCACTGTCAATCTTAAGTACAAAAAATCCAACAGAATCAATCGGTTATTAATAAAAGTTACGCATATAACACAAAACTTACGTCACAATTCGTTTCAATGTGAAAGAATAGAGAGACCACCATTTCTCATTACGATATTCATTGATTACACTCAAATAACAACTACAAGGAAAAGATTAGTTACTTTGTTAGCTTTTTTCTCCTTTTGTTTGAAACGTTACCTAAGAGCTTTATCATAATCTTGTTTATCATAGTATTCAGAGCCCATTAAAATGCCTAAAAGGAAAAAAGGGAACAATATTAGTAAAAGAGTGATAAAACACAATTATTATGGACTCGCAAAAAGAAAGAGCTGTGATATTCAAGACTGAATCAGTAAGTTATGAGCTTAGTTTGAAAGCACCAAACATTGCCGTATATCACGGGTGTACTTTCAGTTCTTTAAATACTTGAACATCCTTTTGCATGGCTTTTGTTTAATTTACATAGAAGGGAACAAAAAAATATCTAAAATTCGATAGCAACATTAGAATTATGAGGTGAAGATTAGTGAAGCACTTTAAACATGGTGTTAAGCAACCAATATCATGTGTCAGAGACAGTGCGTTATTCAAATTTCTGTGGCTTGATAATTCAGTTTAATACGAAGTGATATTATTTGAATATGCTTACCCTAGACAAAAGCATCTATTTTTTATTTCTAAGGTAGCATTCGCCACAGACTGACATTAGTTAGCGAACCATTGAAAACCTGGAAGCACTGGACAGCTATTTCGTCCTAGTTTGGAACTCCTCAGCAGTATGGGCCATTTATTTTTGGCATAGACGTGTTCATTGAGATGAATTTCATCCACTTACAATTTTCAATGCTTAGTTATGTGATCAAATGAGAGCGAGTGGATGAAATGTGCATCATTTGAATTTCAACAGTGAAAATCTTAGTCTTGTTTTCTAAAAGATTAGTGACTTCAAAGGTCACCCAGACAACTACAAAATAACCAATCCGGTTTATTTCCTTCTTTTACATAACTACCTTTCTAACCAAAATCGAGATACCTGATTACTTATCTCCAGTGATTGCTAGGGTGGCCTTTAGAATCATTCCAAAAGATTTAGTAAAAGTTTGGGATTTTTTCATTAGCCTATCTCTATTTTCTATCTGAAAATTTATCTCAGTAAATTTTAATATTTTCTTCATTGGCTTTCAAAAGATGATCTGTCCCATTAATTCAATCCTTATTGATCTCTCTCATTACCTGACCTTGTTCGAAGCTACCCTCTTAGTCACTGCTAGCTGTGATGTCTGTTCAGAAGTAAGCTCGAGCACTTTTGCCAATGAGAAAAGTTCTGTCTTGTTTTAGCCGATAAGTTCTCTTTGATCAAATAGTGGTCTAGTTGTATTTAACTTGTTTTCAGGATAGTGTTAATCTTCCATATGCAAAAAGCTGGTACAGCGGAGACAATACAGCACCCAATTCGACAGAAAACATTCCAAGCAGAATAAGAACTAGTCATCTTAGATTTCAAATATATTTCACCCAATTAGTAGCACAAAAAGTGTCATAGTCATTAAGTACGCGTATAACTCAGTTTGTAACCAGGACCAATTTATGACTTACCTCCTAAAAAGATCCAATACTTTTTAAAATATCAACAGTAACAGAACAGCATGGAAAACTAATTCTGTAATGTCCATATGACTGCTGTCTCGTAAAAGAAAGCTGAAGTTCAATTTAAAGGCTTACGGGGATTCCTTTATTGTTTTTAGGTTGATATTTATCACAGACTGACATCACTTGGAGAACCATTAGGAGCCTCGATCCCAACCTAGTGGCTCAGTGGTAACGCGCTGGCCACAGAACCTGACGATCCTGGGATCGATCCTTGCTAGGGTCGTGGGTGCGCACTGCCGAGGAGTCCTGTACTGGGACAAAACAATTGTCCAGTGCTCCTAGATCTAAAATGTTTCTCCAACTGATATCAGTCTATGATGAATATCCGTCCGGATTCAAAATTGAAACTAATTAGAAACAACTACTTTTCTTGAAATCTATGCAGAATAGAAGGTGAAGCATAACGGTACGCTAACTGATGTTGTAATCATCCCTTCGATAGACTACAGTTATCTCTAACATCCTAAGAGCTACTCAAACTATGCTTGCTATATGAGTACTGTTTTTCGCGCTGCCCACCATTTTTTGTGGCGACTATATGATGCATGTCAGCGTTTTTTCATGTCCTTATTTACCGCAAACTAAATAAAAACGTCAACTACGAACAAAAGATTCAGTGGCTACGAAAATCATGCTTGAACAATAAGATAGTCCAGAGTTATTTGTAGTCGACCAAATAAGGCTTTTCGATATGGCCTTGGGTCTTAAACACGTTATTACTGTACATAGGTCAGGTTTCCTAAGTCTTTTTACTTCTATATTCTTTATTTTCTGTTCCAGCTATCTTTATGCAAATTATCTGATGCAAATTATTACTAAATTCGACAAAACATTGTCGGAATGAAATATAGCTTTGAAATGATTGTGTGCTATGCCACTGTGTACTGCATAAAATAAGCTTAGTCGATATGGAATTATACTCCATCACAATGCTGAATTTCTACTTATGCATCAGGGGAAAAAAGTAATTTAGATAAAGATGATGAAATGATTAGACAAACAGTTAGTGACAGACATATTCAAATAAATTGACTAGAAACTCACATGGATACAGTTTCATTCGTTCAGCCTTATATCGTTTGTACTGCAGTCGAGTCTGCTCCAGAAGTGGTATAATGAAAGTCTAGAATTAAAAAACAAAAAAACATTTTTTCTTATTCTAAAGATGAAGATAACAGAACATCGATTATATCATATGGACCAGCACTACTGGTGATTATAAAAAGATCTCCTTTAACCGATAACAGAAATCATCTTACCAATTAATAAATATTGAAACACCCGTAATTCGCTTTCCAAGTAAAAAACGAATAGGCATTCTCTAAGTTTTATATAAAGATAGTACCATTGATGAAACCCACACGTACGCACCACGTTCACTAGTACAAACAGTTACTCTATAGCCGTATGATTACTGGGATCTCAGATGGATAGGATAAAATTGAGTTTTCGCCTGCAAATGTTTCAGCAGAAGGCTGGACTACTTTATCAGTGTGACTTTACTTGAAAAAAGTCCAACAAAAAGAAATTTGCAACTATTTACTGATTATTAACAGTTTGCCTATGGAAATAGCATTCAAATAACTAAGGAAACTTTAAGTGTTCATTTACTTCAAACATAACAGACAGAAGTACATTTTTTTAAAGGAAAAAGAGAAAGTTTTGTTGATGACATAGGTGCTTCAATGGGAGGTATATTTGACAGTATAAAAACCAGCAAATGACCGACTTTCTTTACTGAACGTTTATATGCCCAATCTTGAGATAAACGACTTGGTGGTTCAGTCACACTGAATGAATGGCGAAACGACAAAGTTCTTAGACCTCACTTACTTATAACGTCCAAATTTTTCAAACTTATAACAAAGAGAAGCAAACGTTTAAATGAAACTCGAGAGCGACAGACCAGAGAAAACCCCCCAGGTTTCCGACTTGTTCGTGAGTGTATCGATTAGACACTCACTTTCCAACAGGTTCCAGAACACAAAAACGCTCACCAGCACCCGATGATAGCCGTACTTCTTGATCTAAAGGAGGCACTCGACTTAGTCAGTGGAAACGCCTTAAGGAAGTATCTCACTTAAATGGGTACCGAGTAAGTACACCATCCCACTGAAGGCTTTGAGTCTGAACACCTGTGGGCGTGTTAGAGTCTATGGTAAGCCATCGGGTGAGTTGTGTACATCAAGTGGTGTTTGTCAAGGATATCAACTCTCTTGATTCCTACTTAACTTTGCAATACACATGCCTATAGAGGTCTCCTTTTCCTCATCTGACTTTACTAGAATTAACCTGGTCACAGAAGACTCTTTAGTAGGCCTAGAGTACGCAAATAATAGAGTCCTGTTATGAGAAGTGGTACCCTGAGTTTGGGGTGTCTTTATCATCCTTCAGATGTAAATTGTTACTATAGGACTGGTCTGTCCTGATGTCCCGTCTACAAATAGGGACTGAAGTGTTTTATTGGATTGACCACTTCCCGCAATTGGCAAGTCAGTGCACTCTACATATCTATGACACATTGCAATTAAAGGTAGTGAACATAAATCAAAATTAAAAAATACGAAATCTACTTAGCGACCCGATGAACGTTCGTACAGTAGGCAATGAACTACACCATTTCCGTCAGGGCTAATGATACTACCGAAGTGCTCTAACCTCAAGGTATAAACGACTGAACTTTCAACTATAATGGTATCATTCGGTTGGTATAAATATACTTTCAATCCCATTGTAATCTTCTGGTTTCAGCTGGATATTGTGGCGAGAAGTCATTGTTCTGTCGTTATTCGTATCGCGTCGAAGTATCATATCGTTTACATATATCAGGTTCAACATCGATGACGACTAACGAAATGACTGAAACAGCTGGAGCGTAGTACATGGAAAGATGAAGTGAAGACGTAATAGTAAAGATGCTTTGTGCTCAATAAGATTCCACAAACAACTTCTGAAGCGTTTGAGACAAAATCTTGAAATACCTGGGATACTTTGAACATTTGCGAAGTGGTACCTGAATTCACTAAATATTTGTTCTACATACTGAGCGACTGCCTACACAAACTGGTAGCAGAGGAAGGTCAGGTTTACTTAGAATGATCAGGGCAAAGAATGAAACTAGCCCAAGAAAAACAATTTTCTACAGAATATAAGCTTTGTCGGTAATTTTAGATCCTTTAGGAATCAGTAATCAAAGTTTATGTGACATTTCTCGAAGTCTGTTACGAAAAACCGATTCTTAAATGAAATATTCTATGTATTCGTCTGATGTCCACAAATTCCGTCCTTTTGGTTCATTTTAAATTTCTTTCCGTGCACCATCGACAAGTGTTGTAAATTAAATCAAAAACTAGCGTGCAGATTTCTACATTGCTTGGCTTTTTTTGCCCCATCAACTAAGATATCTCATGGAATTTACCCACCAACTTTAAGTTATCAAGGTAGTGAAATAATGTGAGCACTTTATCAATAAACTGTCGTAATTAAGTATCCAATATAATTCTTGTTAATTATGATGCAACTTTCAGACAATTAAGTTCTACACAACTGGTATTCAAAGATATACCTCTGATATTATGAAAAGAGCAAAAATGGCGGCGTAAAATAGGATAAGTGGGTTCTTAATGATAAATGGGTAAAATTACGAGAAAAATGTGATGAACTACTTTGGTCTATTCAAACATCTTACCACATACAAACCAAGCTTACCGTTGAATAAATTTTTAATAAAGCTGGAAGTGTTAATCATTGACCAATCAGTTTAGTTTTCTCTAGATTGACAAAAAGATGAATGCAGTACAGTAGCGTATGCTTTAAAGACAAAAGACGATAGCAGCAAAAAGAGATTTTTTTTCTCTCCAAACAACTCATTCCCTTAGCTTTACATTAGTGGATATTCTGGAATGTTTTATCCGCTTGACTATATGTTCACGAATGTACAGTTTGTCGAAAAAAAAGATTTCTTCGGTGCAATCGTCTTTTCGCTTTTCCTAAGATGCCTTGAAGTTAAACTCAGTTGTAAGATAAAATCAAAACAAAAATAAGAGCCGCTTTGATTTAGAAAACGCTTTTTCCACATATCCACATCCAATGCTTCACATCTTAACAAATGCTGTGGAAAGTAACAGATTGAACTTTTCAAGCAAGAATGGATGACTGAAATAGTACCATAAAGGACTTACAGAATGGTCAACCTCAAGTTCCGCCTTCTGTAGATTCAAGATTCCTTCTCGTTCTTTAGCTAGATTTGGTGGCTCTATGCTCTGAATCCCTTGACGCCAAAGTCTTTGACCGTAAAATTCAAGGCCATCCACTTTTTCCATAGCTGACGTGTTTTCGACTGGAGATAACTGATTGGGTGAATAAGAAGGCGGTAGACTAGAATTGTCTGTAGCCAATGAAATCTGTTTTTTAAATAAATGAGGTGACTGTACACGAACAAACATTGCAGTGTTAATTCCTGTACGCTTTGATTTAGAAGATTCTGAAGAATAGTTCAAAGACTGAGGTGTGGAATCACTCTCTTCTGCTAATAAACCACCGTCTGCAGCTAATGTGACATCCAGTCCAACAGGGGATTCGTAAGGTCCAGTTGACAATGGATAAAATAATTTGTCGTCTGCATTCATTTCAGCAGCTTTCACCGTGGGTATACATAGAGCTTGACACAGCTGACGACGACAAATTGCATGTCTGGCTGCTTCTTGATAATATAACCCAGGGTGCTGAGTCATAAGCGGAGTAAGACTGGATTTGATGGCCTCCTGGAAGAGATCTCCCAGAATTTCAAATCTAAAAAGATTGAAATTCATTTAACAGAATTATTAGGAACAATGCAGGGAACGAAAATAAACTCAAGCTACTTATGAAGAAATGAAATACACAAAAGATGACAGTGAAGTAGGACAGAAAATGAAAGATGACTTACTGCTTCGACATCCACGCTTCATGTTCAAATGCTAATTGCGGTAATCCAACAAGATTGGAAAAGAAATTAATGTGTCTGCGGAATTGGGATATTGCATCGGAAGCATTGTTTTGAAAAGCAAGGCGGCAAATCTGCATATGAATGATATAATATTGAGTTATTGATAGTACGACCAACAATTAACAACTGATTGGATGTACGATAGCATATAATGGTAATGACAATAACAGAAATGAATAAGGAATGCACACAAATTGACGCGAAAAATGCACACGTATCTAAAGTTATGCCATTGACATGTACTATAGCACATTCAACTGAGTAGATTTCAATATCGAGAATTATTTCCCAAATTTAATTCGATAGCTTGGGCACTCTTCTGAGGTACACTTCTATAATCACTTTACTACGAGCAGTAAATTCTGAACGAAATCTCATCCAGTAAATGACAGTGTAACACATTAAATCAACAATATAACAAGTTTATTTTACTTTATTAACAAAACTGTACAATAAGACTACTCTCCTATCTAAATAAGTGTGTAGAAATAAATAATTGTGGATGATAAATACAATTACTATTATTTATTATTTGTCCCTTGGGTTCCTAATGGAACATAGGGCTTCAGTAGCACGTCTCCAGTGCACTTTGGCCTATGAAATCTTTTGAACCTGGCTCCATGACAGTCAAGAAGCTCTCATTTCTTCCTAACACAATCTCCTCCATGTCACCCTCACCACGACGCCCAACTCGTCGCTACCAATCTGGGTTCCACTCAAGGGCCTGGCCTGACGCGTGATGTCCCCAGTCGGCCTCCACAGTGCATGCCCAATCCAATCCATCTCCACTTCCTTCTGCATGTTTGTTGAGCGATACTTTCTTGGTTGGTTCGTTCCCAGCCAGCCAGACTTCCTTGTTGCTTATTCTTATTATTCTCACTATCTGAGCTTCAGTAACGAGCCAGCATAGGCAGTTGTTGATGAATGTCTGTAGTTTGTTGGAAATGCCTTTCGTAACGCGCCAAGTCTCTGAGCCACACAGAAGAACTGATTTGACGTGGGTGTTGAAAATCTGGATCTTGTTCACGCTTTATGCTGAGTGCAGATCTGAACGCTGGTTTCAGGCTAGTGAACGTCTATCTTGCTTTTCCGATTCTGGCTGCTTTGACGTCCTCGTCTGTACCGCCACATGTAGTTGAAACGGTGCTACCACGCCTAGGTGTGTGAAAGAGACTACTTCCTTTAGATTCCTCCCGTTGGTGGTGATTGGAGTTTGTTGATGTTGTTGGTTGGGTATCTTCATCACCTCTGTCTTCTCTACGTTCACTTGAAGTCCCGTCTTCGCTGCCCTGCCCTACCCTGCCCTGCCCTGCCCTGCCTCTTCCGTCAACTTGTTAGTTTTCGCCTGTAGATCTTCTAGTTTGTACGACAAGACATTAGACATAAGTCATCGCTGAAATCCAAGTCTTCTAGGATCTTTTCTCCAGTTCAGCGTATCCTCCTCTTCTCACAGCTCCTCACTGTTTGTTGCATGATCCAGTCGACCACAATCAGGAATATCATGGGTGATAGTAGGCAGCATTGTCTTGCTCCTGTTCCCTGTCTCCACTTCAAAAGCATCACTGAGCTCCCCATTGTGAATCACTTGGCATGTGGCGTCTTCATATAGCTGTTGAATGAGGTTGATAAAGATTTATCGCAATAAAACTGTAGTGTTGAAGCGGCTGCCAAATTACTTCTCGGTCGACGCTGTCAAAGACCTTTTCAAAATCGATGAAGTTGTGGTGAGGTAGAGAATTAAATGCCATTCTATGCTGTGTTCTATGATGATGTGAAGCGTTGCAATTTGGTCAGCACATGATTTGTCTTTCCTGAAACCAGCCAGCCTGTTCCGGTAGTAGTTTGGAATTCAGTGCATCCTTTAATCTTTCCAGGATGATGTGGCTTAATATTTTGCTTGCTCCGGGTGGACCGAAGCCTGATTCCGCGCCAGTTCTTGCAAAGACTTAGGTCTCCCTTCTTCGGGAGTTTGACAAGATAGCCCTTCTTCCAATCAATGGGCAGGTACCTTCCCTTCCTTCCAGACCTTCTGCAATATTGGTGTGGTGTGAGCATATCCGCTGTTGTCTCTGCCTCTGTTCTCAATGCTTCCGACAGGATTCCATCTGGTCCTGCCGCCTCCCCGAATTCCAGTAGCTTTATGGCATTCAGGAAGTAGACTTTCGTTGGAGGGCCTATGTTCACTGGTAATTCTGTGGCTCGGCTGCAAGTGGTATTTCTGGACGAAGTGCAGGTGGTCAGGGTGGTCGATTCAAGAGCTTCTTGAAGTGGTCAGCCCATTGTTTCCTACGTTCCTCTTCTTTGGTAATTAGATCTCTTGCATCATCCTTTGTTGGTTTCATCTGTGTTGATCTCTTCCCTTCCAGATAGTAACCTGGTTATTTGATACTATGTTGTCAGGTCTCTCTTACCTGCAGCCTGTCCTGCTTCACTTTTCAGTGTGTCGTGGAAGTGTCTTTTGTCTTTGTGCGCACTCTTCTTCACTTCTTTGTCCAGTGTTTCGTACGTTGTACTCAAATCCTCATGTCGTTGAGCATCCTTGCACTGGTTCATCTGCTTCACCATCCTACTCTCTGTGCTCCATCAGCTTCCATGTGTCCGTCGAGATCCATTCCTTGTCTTGTTCTTCCAGCAGGAGGAGATTGGTTCCCACTGCATGAGAGAGAGAGCCTTCAATGCTGTTGTGGACATCATGATAACCACTCGAAAACTCAGTGTGTTCGTGGTTGTCGTCTGGATGACAATATTGGAGTAGATTATTGACTCCTCTCCAGTTGACAGTTTGGAGAGTCTACTCCCATTCCATCTGCTTTCGCAAATTCCAAGCATTCCAATGTGATACCTTCTCATCTGCTTTGCAATCTGGGCTGCCTTGCTGGGTTCAAACATGGTGCGGACATTCCATGTTCCCATGTTTACTTTCGCTTTCATCGAGGGAGAGAAGATACATCGGTCGATTGACTTCCCAGGGGCTTTCACCAACTGGCGTCATTTCGCCTCTCTGATTCCAGCGAGGAACAATTTTGTTTTTATTTTTTATATTTTGTTTGTGCTTTAAAGTTTCTTTAGCAGTTGCATTAGTTTTACAGGGTACGGTTGCTGTACGTGTATAGAAATCAATAATTGTGGATGATAAATACAATGAGTAAATTGAATACTTACACTTACAGTAACAATATATAAAGAGAGAATTCAAAAAACGTGATTAACCTAAAAAAAATTATAGCAGAATATACACAGTTCATACCACTTGTAAAACGATAATACTTGCTAATCAATCAGCCGTCTCGAGACTGCACTATCCTATTATCGTATGGAGTCAGATAAAACAATCATTGCATTCTTATTACTTTTCTTTTACTATTGAAACAAATGTATTTAGATTAATGTTGTGAAAAGAAGATCAAAAAACTCTGACTCGAGAAATGATACTGAGAAATGAGGAAAATACAGCATTTTGAATCCCTGTAGAAGTCACTTCTCTCTCAAACTAGATTTACAATTAGTTTAGCGGCTCCAGTGTCAACTGTTGCCTGTACTTTGGTACAGTTTGGTAATTTTTCCATGGTGGAAAAAAGGAAAGAGTAAATATTCATTTCCTTCCAAAAAAAACATCAAATAAGTGATCTGTTCAACCAATTTTCACTTGTTAAACACCCAATCAAGGGCAGCAAGTGGACTAACGAAGTTATTTCGTAGTGAGAATTATGCAACTCAAAAATCATGATCATAGTAATGATGGATAATAGTTAGCAGTGGAATCTAGATCACGCGTTCCGTTCTATTTGTGACTCCGCTCGATATACCTCCTCCCAGTGGGCGATGTTGTTTTCACTAAGACTCAAACCCTAGACCGATCGCTTCAAACATCAAAGCGCTACTCAGTAAGCCAATGATTCATGCTAGCCACTTCATAAAAAACCCACCGTACAAGAAGTGGCCTAGTGGATAACGTTTTGGCGTTTGAAACGATCTGTCTCCGGTTCGAGTTTTAGTGGGAACAATATCCCTAACTGGAAAACAGGTACACCCAGGTGATGAATCTGAAATAGGACGAAACACGCGTCTTGGATTCAACTGTGCTAACCGCTATCCATTAATAATATAAAATGGAAATGACAGGCAATATCGAAGCAATCGCGCATAGGAGCCCATATGCCAATAGAGACCGGTCAATTCGGTCTGACCAACGACGGAATAATACAAATAACATCATAGTCAAGCTCATATTTATGCACAAGGTACTTAATCATATGGATTGTGTAACCGATAATGATACTGCGTAGCTGACCGAAACATCTGACAATCACATAAAAACGGTTGAAAATTCTTCGGACAAATGAGAAATAACTTAATCAAGTATGAATCACCTTGTAGTTAATAAATCCAGCCACAGTTTTGACTTCTAACATATGTGCATCTAGCATACGCAGTTCTGTCAAATGATTATACGCCTGCTGGTAATGTCTGAAACGAAATAGAAAAAACCAACTCCAAGATATATGATAGTGGTATGGGATTATAAAAACAAACAGTGTATTTTCAGTTATACAAGTGAAACAGAACACCTTTACAACTCAGAGATACGAAAAATGATTTTCCTTTCAAGAAAACCTTTCATAGTAGTAAGCAGAGCAATGTTTTTATACTGAGGCAATGGGTAACGAAGATTTGAATCTCATAGGAAACAACCTGACTGACTGATAAAATTGACGTAGAACCTCGCACAAGAGTGTATCGGATCAAGCTGCCACACTTCGCAGCGGCACACAAAGAACAGGTGTACAGAAAAAGGTTGATATCATAGAAGATAAAGCAATGTCAGAAAACACACAACCTGAAGAGAAGGGTTAGTGTGAATATTCAAGCTTTCGAAGATGTCAAGGAGTGAATACATCTGAGCTATTTTGACTGATTTTCAGCCAATTCATCCAGAGTCCTCAACCGCTGATTCCTTTCGTCTCGGGTACCCTAACCAGATAGTCTGCATCTCCAAACAGTCAGAGACTTCATCGACTGGTGCCATTTCTTGGTCTGACCACCCTGTACCCTCTTTCAAGCCTAATCCAACTTCTCCTAGCATGGTAGATCGACGTAGGAGTTGACTTGGCATGCGCACCAGATGTTTAAAGCATCGCAGTTGACTAAAGTTCACAACCTTGCCTATTGCCCTTCGCCTGATTTCAACACTTCTCACACAAGGTTCCTCAGGGTTGCAGATAAATCTTAAACGTCCTCACTTTGGAAGTTTAAGTAAACCGTCTGGTTTTTATTACCTTTATCAAACTTTAGACTTACATGCTAAATGCCGAAACAAGCAGCAGAACAGTGAAGTTAAGCAAACAGTTTCCGAAAACTAAATTACACTATCCAGCCTAATGTGGACCTATAGATTATTGATTTCTACGGTCGAATTCCAACCACTGAGTGACAAGTTGAAACTGAGATCCACCCACTAAAATTTGGGCGGCCAGACTGGGGCATACACATAAAACACAACAAGTGCAGTTAAGTGTTCAACTTTACGTTATTACTCACAGCAACGCTGTGTGGTGAGTTCATTAGGCATATCTGACTTATCAAAAGTTAAGCAATAATTATTACTGAGAATAAATGCGCTAAAGTTATGGTAAGTTCGACTGATAGAAATAAATAGTTGTTTAACCCTCACTAATCAATGGTGCCGGCTGTCAGTCAAACAACTAGTAATTTGAACACCATGTCCCGTTTGATAAGTTACAGGCAGAGTTCATCAACTGACTGGTTCATTTCGAACAACAGAACTAAACGGTTGTAGGGTGTTTAATTTACTTCGAGCGAGTTAAATACCACTCCTGACTACCATGAATAGTTTACAAATATTCGTTTCACTCAGTAGTTTAAAGCACAAAGTCGCTATGTTCGCAATCCTGAAACTATTAAGGATACCAAGCTAATCATACATTTCTATCCAGATATTTTGATTTCACGATAACCTACGGTGAAGTTTTGAAGTTACGTTTCATATCACTGTATCACTTTTACTTCAGACTGTACATTTTGCCCTTTTCTCATTTGATAATGCTGACTTACTTTAATGCTAATCCTTGATCTTGTTTTAATTCAGAGTAGAAACCAATTTTGAACTCATGACGGACAAATAACAGCTGAAATAGATCAAACAATGACAGAAATTAGAATATGCATGACAGATTTAATTAGTCCAAGGCTTATATATCAATGAAAAGAAACAAATTCGCCTTCGACATTAACCTGTTTAAAGAGACTAAACTGTATGAAATTCTCATTCAACTGAAATGTAAATCAATTTGTCACAAATGTGATCTATCGGTCATACAAATTAATGCTATCCATTCCTATGACCACTTGTCAACAGGAAATGGTCATTGCATTGCGAAGAACCGATGACATGAACCATAAAAACATTTAAAGCTACGATGAAGACAACGGAATAAACACTTCATGGTAAGAAGCAAAGCAGTACACAAAGAAATAGTAAAGGTAAGCACTCATTGTGCAATACAAAATGGTATATGAAGGTTATTTAAAAAATTGAAATGTTTAGTTATCGTTTCATGATTCTTGATAATTTAAGTTTGAGGTTTGTGGGGACTTATTTCTTGACTTCAGGTTGGTGTTCATCATGGATTGACATCAGTTGGAGAAATATTGGAAACTTGGGAGCACTGAACAGCTGTTCCATCATAGTACGGGACTCCTCAGCAGTGCACACCCATAACCGTTCTAGGGATCGAACTCCAGACCTTTAGGTTTCGCAGCTAACCTATTAGTTTTCAGTCTGAATTTAAAATCACAGATTCGGCGTAAATATTTCTGAAGTCTGAGTTTTTTAAATTTTGATCAACTAGGAATGAAAAACAAAAAGCTGACCAAATAACTAGTTTGGCAGCATGAAAACAAGGCTCCCTTGTAAAGTCAGTGTTGATGAAGTCACCTGGCTTGGTGATGACACATTCAAGAATAAACCTCAAAGCTCAGAGGACATCAAATAATTTTCATCTTCATCCAGAGCTGAAAATCTTCTCTACTATCTCAAAAATGATTTCATTTGAGCTTTAGTTCCAACATAAACAAAGACTGTAGACGATAGTAGTGAACGTAGATTTGCATAACTAACATGTAACAGACAAACAAAAATATGACTGCAGCCTGTAAAACACTTGGGACACCAAGTAATTTGATATCAGATGCAAATAGACAAGTCGACGTACAATACTGTACACAAAAGCCTACCAGACAAGTCAGTCATCATTCCCAAAGGTACACACGGGAGTATTTAGGATATTATAGAGTTCTCTCTCTCATCAAAACTACGAAAGTAACCTTGTGAAACACAGTATTCAAACGCATAGATGCAGATAACTACATAATATACACAAATGGTAAAAATGAGAAGCAAGGCTATCCATCACAGAAATTAAAAAAAAATACCTGATGACTAGCCTTGTTCAGTGAATCTTTATGTGCTTTCACTTTTCTCGCTTGGTTGTGATAATAATTGGCTGCCATATCACGAAATTCATCTTCCAACCTGTACAAAACAGTTGATTAATGGAACAACACAAAGTAATTAGTAAAAGAAGATTACTGTCTATGCTAGTAGATTAGAGGTAACTATCAACAGGTTCTGGAGGTAATTCATATGCTCGTAGGTACTTGTCGAAAAATACATCAAACACCTCAAGAAACCTAATGTACCCAAAAGAATTCGCATGAAGATCAGTCAGAGATGCAGTGAGAAACAGGTTTGAACGGTTCATTAGTGAAATCTTTGACTAAATAATGAGTAATGTGAGCTTGAGTTCATGAAGACGCACGAATTCTTTTACGAAATGCTTCCTAAATGGACAGTAAGAAACTCGAAATCTCGGTACAGAGAGTCCTGTCAGATGCTAGACAACAAATACTACAAGACACACTGACGATGTACTTCGCTTGGTGACTATATCGGAACTTCGTCAACAGAAATAGGTCATCAATGAACGCCATCAAGTACGGTAGTGGTTACTCTGTCACTGATAGGTTGACGGGGAAAAGTTATAAATAAACAAAACGTAATCCATTTTTTAGATGCATCCAAAACTTAAACATCATCTTAAATCACTGAGAGTAAACCCTGCAACCATGGTTATGAAAAAATATTCACGATTATCATTTAATGGGAGCGTTTCTCAAAAGAACAAGCGGAAATGATCATGTGAAATTTGAACAGAATACGAAACGTCGGACCAAAAGGGCTATGAAATCATTGTAGACTGATAGTCCTCAGTAATATTTGTGGAATGATTAATGCATAAACCTGTGCTGGTCACGAGCTATCGTTGAATACAAACCATAACAATAATCGCTGACTTAGAGACTAGACTTCTGAACTGAGTAGATGGGGTGATCCTGTAAAAATCACAGATCTCGCACAAATAGTAACTAACTAAAATTGGAGGTTGAAAAAGTTCTTGACAGTATACGTGTAAACGATTTAAACGACATAAACAGTATATACCACTAAAAAACATGATTAGATGCAGAACACTCACTAGTTGAGTATCTGGAGAAATTCAGCTCACCGGATTGAATTATTAAAATTAGCTGGGTCTGTCCAGGTGACTTGAATGGACCAGTATACTTTAAAGGTCAACTTGGCAAATTATTTTAACTTTCGCAGTACAGATAACACTCGGTGATCTTGGTAGATCATTTTCCAACAGAAACATTAACATCATAGTTCAGTATTCGAAAGACTTCTCAGAAGTGGGAAATGTTAACGTGGACCATGCAGCTTGTGAATAATTTGTAAACTGATCATCCAATCACTAGCATTATTTACAAATCCCTATATCTTCCATGGACTCCAACAATGCGCAAGTTTATTCTGACCTGACACAAAAGCATGTTACTGACCTTCTTAGATAATATTTCAATTTGTAGTTGAAGAGCAACCGTGATTATTGCTGTCATGTAGACCAAGTAAGGGGAAAATCTGACTTCGTACATCAAAACGGGAGCCATACGTAGTAATACATGATGAAGCACGATTTGAGTTGTTGTATTTGTTTAAAATCAGTGGATTAAGCTTTTCTCTACACCTGTAATATATGGCCACCACGAGCTTTTGATGTTTAGTATCCTTGCTTTAGACCATAAGTACTTGCGTAGAATCACTTGAATCCGATAAGCGGATCGTGTAGTAAATACTGAAGTCATAATGATTGGGTTATGTGGACTGCAACAGGATAAGGAGCATCTGACAAAATGCATTCACTTTTGTGAAACATTTCATGCATTACCTTCCAATAGCTTATATACGGAACACATAAAAAGACTCTGTCCAAAATGTTAGTTTTTGTTGGTGAACGGATCTCAGAGACTTTTTTGACGCAGTTTTCTTATCCCTACATCAATATTATAATGAACCTTAAGGAAAGAAAACCATTTCTAAGTAGAGCTAGAACAACAGTCCCAGCAGAATAGCAGGGGTTTACTTTATTTTAGGGTTCTTCAACAGGTGCTTATCATTTAAAACAATTCTGATGCAGCAAATCCGAGTTTACCTGTTTATTTTAAACGACCTCTCTATGTATCGAATTCATTTCAAACATCAATAAGGTAACGAAAAATATCAGTCAAAACTAGGGAACGTGTTTAATAATGAGAAACTGCAAAGTTGAGTAGATCCACGCTATTCTGAGAATACTGTTCTTCTCGATCTATTTAAATATATCGAATTTCATCTTATCTACTTATTTAGAATACAAACTTAATACAACATGCGTACCAAGAGAAGGATCACACTAAATAGTACACTAACAATAGTGAGATAAAAAAGAAAGGAAGGAGACAAAGGAAGAAAGAGGTTAAAAAATAAGCAGTTTTATAGATACATCCAAAGAACCATTCACTATTTTCATTTTAGTTTTCAGCAATAGGAGAAACACGGAAAATTCTATATGGTCACCACTGGTCTTGATTTTGGGTCATCTCTCGTTTCAAGCCACTGAGTTGCATGACCTCTCAGATTTCACCCAAGGAGTAGTGAGACACTGATAGATGCTAACAAAGAATGGTGTGTAAGCAGCCGGAATAACAAGTGTCGTATAACTCCAAGCTACCGAAACCAGTGTTTCAAGATGACCATGTTAAATGAATGACGATCCTCATCACGCCTAAACGCACAAACGCCTGACCCCGTAATTACTGACATCATGTTTACAACGGACGCTAGCAAATCTGCGGAAACAACGGCTATCGTAAACACAAAATCGCTTGACATCTTCAGCTCAAACTTTAGGCTTCATAACCATAAGAACGACTGCCTACACCGAAATCTTGCATACTCGACCTTTTAGGATAAGGTCGACGTCACTATGGCACTAAAAGTGATCCGCATTGGTACTTGCTGCTTTCGATATACAAGTGGCTGTTTCAACAGCAACACCTCCATCAGCAATCACACAACTACTCAGCTACATAAACTTTCCGATACCTTCAAACAATTCACCACCAAAGGGTGCGTGCAGGCACAGATCGTAAGTAAATCTCGTAGAAGCGACTAGCACTTTGACGACGCAGAGCACAACCATACTTACGAGGACTAACTGCTAACTGGCTCAGTGTGGTTAGAGCAGCTTGTATGTTGGTGCACCGTACAACGATATCATTCGTTCACTTGAGGCGTCAAAATATTACCTGATAGCGGGTTAGAACCGTAACGCACCTCTCTCACCGCTGTCTCAAAGATCAGTTTCTCGCGCATTCTGCAGTGCCTGAGGAGTGTGATCGCAGCCAGTATTTTAGACACTACTGGCAGCAGACTGCTTCAATAATTACCACATACGATGCAGATCCTTTTCAAAGATGGGTACAACAATGACTGTATTTCAGGGTGATAAAACACAGCCAGCCTACCATACCTTTTCAAACAAGGTAGTCAGTTTTCTCACTACTGTTTCATCATCCCTAAATATGAGCACAGCATAAGTTGTCTGAACCGGGCGCCACATGGTGATTTAGAGCTTGAAGTTCACTACGAACGTTTTCTTCGTCAGCTCGGTGGGTCTTAGCCGGTCTTGAAGCACAGTAAACTGGAAATCAATGTTACCTGAGTAGTAAGCTAGTAGAATTGCAATGCAATGTGTTCCATCCAGCATTCCAGGCATCTATGAAAGCTTATCAGTATATCATCTACTTACCAGACCCCCTTGCTGACACCAGCCTTTTTGTTGCCTAGAGATCATCAAATGAGTTGGAAACGTTCTGACTTTTTTCAGACGCAGTTGCTGCTTCCATCTGACTGACGCATTAGGACTACTGGGCTTTACGGCCCTTAGGCGAATGCTATTTGGTCCGTCGCGTAAGGGATTTACGCATACCGTTTTACTAGCTACGTACCTTAATAGACCGAAGAGCGTTAAGAGGTCTCAAGGGGCTAGCAGAGACCCAGTGTTTAATAGCGAAACTTTCTTCAAAGCCAGTAGCAGCTTTACTCCTCCATGCTCGTCGATACTTTTGAAGGTTCGACGTATAGTCTTGAATCAAGCTGTCTGGTATTTAGTTGCAATACTGGGTGAAACTAGTTTCCATACACCAACTCATTCCCAATGAAAATATTGATAGCCACCATAATCCAAGATGAGCTTGGAGCATACTAAAGCGTGGTCATAGACCACACGGGTGGTTCGGAAAAAGTAGAAGATCTCTTGCATAGGTATATGATTGCAGTATGGTACATTAGAGTTTGAGTGGCAGAGACAGGACATCAGGAAGCACAACGCCGATGGCTGTACCAGAATTTGATGCTGGCTATAAGATAGTTGTGATCAGCGCGAATCTCCAGAAGACGTTTCTCATCACGACTCGCAACTGACGAACCCCTTTCTGTACCTAGTCACCTGACCTTTCCATTACAGTCTCCAGCTCACACTACATCTGCTGACAGAGCCTGGTAGACGATGTCGCTAAGGTGATGGTAGAACACACCATCAACTGCATCCGGCCTGAAGTCAGTCGGGGCACAAGTGCAGATGAGGAAACATCGTTTTCCTTGTTATTTACTTCTCACTCTGGTCGAACCTTGCAGTTTAACATCATACAGACAACTGTTGGTGGGGATCCAATCAACTAATGCAGCTTCAGCTCTGAAGCTCATCGCAACACCAACACCAGCAAGGTCTGCCATTGATTCCACAGGGTCCTCATATAGTCACACTGTGAATACACTTCCTGAACTGAAATATAGAGAAATAATCAGAAGCACTTCACTGAGATTTTGTATGCATGTCTATGAGATACAGTATACTTCAACAGCAAGGCTTTTTAAAATTCCAGCCAAACCTTTCCGTTTGCTGATCTGCATCATGGTTAGGACGTTAAAGCTGGCTATCTTTAATAGTGTACACGGTTTCGGAATAGTTGTATCACCTATCACACTGTAGGACAGCCTTCCGGAAGTAACTGTTTAGAGACTCGTGATGAAAACAGACCAGAATTTTAGTCAGCGGAGAATAGCTGAGTGAAACTAAATACACAAAGATAAATTTCAGAGTGAAAATGAAGAGATAGTATAGTTCATACCTAAGAATAATTACAATTTAAAGATAATAATTTGAATAACTTTGTGGAAAGTTCATCGCAGGAATATTTGCAAGGCGCTTTGCTAACTTTACTGTTACTTCTGATCCATAATTTCCATGTGGGCTCTGATACTCTCCGAAAGTCCAGACAGAAATCCAGGGTTTTCTTAAGGAACTAATTCACAAGCCATCGAATTGATGTCTGATACATAATGTAGTGGAACAACATGAGTTACTGCATTTCCATAGTTTCCAGTGCTTGAGATAGGTTCATACGGTGTACGGTGTAGCCCATGTGCACCACTGGTTCGGAACCATGGTTTTCAAACTCTCCTAGATGCACCATCTGCGTGAACTAGTTCAGTGATAGCGCCAAACGTTTACTTTCCCCCTCACTTTTGTGAAAGCACTTCCAGCCACTGGAGGGCAGTGGGTAGAACTTCCATGGGAGAGGTTTTGAAGGCCTAGTTGTATGAAAGCATTTCGGAAGGATGACGGGAGTCAATCTCAACAACAGGATTTTTGGGGAGGAACTGTATTAGGACTGTCTTGATTGCAATTTTATTTGATTCTGCTTTGCGACTATCACTGAGTAGGAATTTGAAAGCTATTGTCAAAGGTTAGTGATGAATCGATTAAATTAATTCCAATACATTAAATATTCCCACTCAGACATTTAGAAAAAATACTGATTAAGTGAAGAAATATATTCCTTTTCAATTAGGTCTTTATCTTGGGCTCTACATTAATATACAGTTTTACAATTTAACCGAATTACCAATCACGTGCTGATGTTTTGGAAATAATGATGTTAATAATCAGTGGAGTTACTAAAATTGGAAACATAAAGCAAGCTATCCTTTGGTAAATAGAGTGACTTTTGGTGAATGTTCACTCATTCACAACGAGCGATTACGCAGTAATAAGAAACCAAATGGATATTGATAGAAACAAGAAAGGGAAGAGGTCTACAAAGTAAACCTAGAAGTTACATCGTGTTGAAGGTCACGGTAATAAAAGTGGTTAGACACACTTTTCTTGAATACAAAGGGTAGGTTTGTAAAGGTGGATTGCAATCGCCTCTGCTATGTGAAGTAACCGAGTGTGTAACCCATGTGGTAAATTAAGTGGAATTTGATGGATGATTTTGAAAGCTTTTCTAGTATCAACTTGATGTCATGTCAACTAGGTGTGCAAGTATGGAGCTCTTTATTGTTCTAATTTGTTCCTTGCTCAACCATAATGAGTGGTGCTTAGAAATTCGACGATGGAACTGCTTCATTGTACCCCCAACGTAACTAGCTCCGCAAGAGCAGTTGAATTGATAAATGCACACAGAAGTGGCAGAATCAGGCAGTTTGCCTTTATTTCTTGCACCTAGAATAGCACGGTTGTAGATGGGACATAATTTAGCGGCTGGGAATGCTTTTTGCAGGACTCTTTTACGTGTTGTGTGATGATCTCACTGGCAATGTCACTCTTAAATTTCACCTTCAAGAAGATTTGCTTCTTAGGAACTGTTGGCGTTCTTGTCTTAACCCTAGTAGTATTCATATGCTTAGTTACAAACTTGTCTGGGTAACCATTCCTACTAAGCAGATCACGGATGGTGGCACACTCTTCTTTTATAGCATCCTCTGAACAAATAGCTGAGGTATGGTATGCTAAGCATTTCATTCGGTTCCTTTTGTATTGGAGGGGTATGGCACTAAAGAAGTGCTTGTGTTGACCTGTTGATGTTGGCTTTCCATATACACTTCGTTTCAGGGTCCCATCTAACCTTCTTACCAACAGAACATCAAGAAATGGGATACTGTCATTTTCCTCCTCTTCCATTGTGAAGCTGATTGCCGGATGAACACTATTGAACTTATTCAGAACAGCATTCTTATCAGTCTCACTTTTGAGAACTATAAAGGTATCATCCATGTAACCACAATATAACTCTAAACGGCTAGTAGTATCGTTCAGTGGAACATTCTCTAGTTTCGCCAGAAAAAATTTGCTAAGAGCAGGGCCAAGGGGTGATGCCATAGCAACACCATCAGATAGCCGGTAGAGTTCGTTGTTGAAAATGAATTGTGGGTTCATCGTACACCTAAGAAGTTGTTCTTTCAACGTGGAGATTGGAATACCTATTTCCATGCCGTGCTTCGTGAGTTCATTGCAAATAAAGTCTACTGTCTCCATTAAAGGAGAGTTAGTAAAAAGAGATGAAATAACACACGATATCATTAACTTATTATCTACTTTCAGATTCTCAATCTTTCTAATAAATTCAAAGGTATCTCTGAGACTGTACTTCACAACTCCTATGTGGAGAGGCTTCAAGAGTCGTACTAACTATTTTGCTGTTGTATGGTACGGAGAGTTTGTCATGTCGAGAACTGGTCGGAGAGGCAGATCATTTTTATGCAGTTTTGGTAGACCGTAAAGTTTAGGTGTAACGGTTCCAGTAGGTTTCAGCATTTCGAAGGTGCTTTCTGAAATAAAACCCTGTTGTTTTATCTTTTTCAGTGATTCGGTTGGATGTTTCTCAGCTTTCTCCGTTGTATCACCATAAGCGGCTAATTTCTGAAATTCACTTTCATCACTAAGTTAAGCATTCATCTTGTCTGTGTACTCTTTTGTGTCCATTAAAACTATTCCTGATCCTTCATCCGGCTTGGTAATCACGATATTTGCATTAGTTTTAAGCTTTTTCAAGGCTTCTCTATGTTTTTTCGTTAAAATACTCTTCATAACGTTCTTCCTTTTGAAAATGTCTTTAAAGGAGTAGATTAGAAGTAACATTGCACGCTAAAAATTTCTTAATAAATCCAAAAATATCGTCTGCAAGAAAAATGGTTAGTAGAATATTCTATTTCATCTTTTTTGTGAAACAAGTCACCTCATGGTCCTTTTAAATAATAATTTAGTGGTGAAAATACCGATAATAATACTTATCAGTCAACTGTACTAGGATCCAGTGTGAAAGCTAAGTTAATCAAGTAATTGAATTTAATTGACTGCATCTGACAGTTGCAAAACAGATAATTTAACGAAGATATGCCCTTAAGAATAAATAAAACTAACAGTTTAATATCCTCTCTGGTTTAGGACAAAGTTTAAACATTTGAGGATAAAATGTAACAAAAGTTGGCGACTATACTTGAAGAATTATAAACTGTAGAGATGCTCCTAAGAATTCAATTCGGTAAACCACTTAATTATCGGCATAAACCATAACTTACGGACAAGTCGACCAGTGAAAAGAGGCATCATAACAGACGAAATGTGTAACAAGAAACAAACCTTGTAATACATCCATAAAGTAAATTCGTATGCGACAAAACGAATAAGTTCTTCCCTGGAAGATCACACTTAGTACAAAGAGATTGGGCTCGATCCATAGCATTAAGGTCTTCGCCCAGCGGCAAAGGAGCACGTTTCTGAATAAGAACGACAACCAGTTTACTTTCACGACCAGCAAGTTTTGATCTAAATGCGATTAAGATAAATAAATAAGGACGAAAATATCCTTACCGAACGGTTGCCACCATTTGAGCACATTCACTTGACCTTTCTTCCCACTGAGGCTCATCCCAATCTAGATCATAAAACAAAGCCACAAATGCAGGTATTTCTTCAAGATGTTTCCTCATCCAACCCGTTTTAAGTATACCTCTTGGGAGAAACCATTCATAAGAAGCTTGTTGCTGAAAATTGAAGTGTAATAAAAATTGACAATATGCATGAGAAACGAAGTAACATTTTAATCAGTTTGAAACATGATCAATTTCGTTACTTAAGGTGAGTTCTATACAAGTCAATCCCAACCGTATCAAGTACAAATTGCAACCAGTTAATAGATAAGAATATAAGATGGATGGGCATAACCCTCGACACGTTGTCTACGCGACGAGCGAAGAGTATTAAGTGATACATACTTACGAATTCACCATTTTTCAAGTTTCAGTTTACATTATTTGGATATCAGCTGTCACTCCCTCATTCCGAACAAAGCCATCCAGTCCATTGTTGGTTAAAATACGTTCAAAAACAAGGGAATTAAAGCAACAAACTTACACGCAGGATATAAATGAAGGGTAGGAAATTTTTCCAAAATAATGTAAGCAAAAGTAATAATGCTAGTAAGTAACATAATACATAAATAAAGAACCAATGTAAAAGATAGACCTATTTAATTTAATCAAGCAAACAGATAGAACAGAAGTTTAAAAGTACTAAGAAGTAATAGTACGACCTGCATTGTCCAGAACTGCTATGCTTTCGATCTCTTCGCAATCCTCAAGTGTTACTTCATTTAACCCCCAATCTCAAAATCAGAATAAACGCGAACAGCAGAAAGTTGAGAAGAAGCATCATCCCCAACAATAAATATAGGTAGTAGGTATACATAAAAAAATGAGTAATAAAATAACCGGAGAAGCATATGATTCTTTATATACTGATTTGGAAACACTGGCTAGAAATATATCGGAAAGAGATTGTACTGTGTGCTAAAACATATAACGTCGGTTGCAGTTAAAATAGAGGAGTGACTTCCGAAACAGGCACAGGAAAAACAAACATATCTGTGCAAGATTTATGTTAACATAAGACAGAAGAAAAACATTGAAATCTTGATATTTTTTCAATGGTTTCTTATTCAACTAAATTCGTGAAGATAACTGTTGTATACACTTTTTTTCAGCACCAAAGATGAGATGTAGTTTTTTGGCTATAGTATTCGACTTTCAACCAATGAATACATTGCTAGGATCTCAATCCACGTACTTCGACCTCGGCAACCAGGTATTATATCGCTTCATACATTAAGTGAATTATAGTACATAAACATGTACGAAAAAAATTAAGTTTAGTAGAACCAAACTTATTCACTCGATTAGAGCCGTAACTTAAAACCACACAATCAGCTGTCAGAGGTTCAACCCTTTTTACCTACGATGGGTTGAATATTTTTCACTATCACAAATAAGATCCATTCAATACTTGACATTTACACGTACACCTCAACGGGTATATTCTGCTTCAAAAAAATTCCCGCAGATCTGCTAAATACACTGCGGAACTAAAAATTTCCAGTACAAAAGAACTGAAGGTAGCAAAATATAAGAAACCATACGATCCCAATAATTTGGAGTCTAGTGCTAATCACTTTTAAAAACGGTCGCTCAAAATAATAAAAAAATTGTAAGAATTAGATAAAAAATAGAAACCGGTATTTGAGTAGGTATGGTCAGCTTTTCTAACTCTACATCTAAAAACTTCAGCACTGTAGAAAAATGGCCAAAAAACGCTCACAAGCGACAGTCAAGTGAAACGTCAGCCGACAAAGTATCGACCGTCTTGCAACAAACCTTATACTTTGGCTTTGGGAACTGATGATCAATCGGTTGGCAACGAAAATTAAACGACTCTCGGTTATGGCTTTTGCTAGTATTGAAAGCTCTCCAGACTGATCGATGAACCTGATTTTTCTCGGTGTCTAAACCAGAAAAGACGATAAGGGGTTTGGGTCTGCAGCAGAGTTCTTCTGGAAGTTTTTCAATGTACTGCATTTCACGATTTTCGCGAAAATAATGAGAATTAACAGGACATTTCAATAATAAGTTGACATCAAACGACTGTAAGAGACGGCTGAAACAAAATGTGAAAAAACAACAATGTAAATGAGTAGGATTTCCAAGCACAATCAAGAAAAAACCTTGGGGAAGGAATGAGCAAACAGAAACAGGAAATGAATAGAACTAATATTAATCTATAAATTTTATCAAAAAAATGTATGAATACACTAAAGATATGAATATATGAACTATCAAACCATGGCATTCGCCATTGATCCTTACGTTCTTAAATAACCAATCTGTGTGGCCTACATTTATTCGTAAGACAAAGATCCGATGTCACTGTATCAACTTTATTATTTGGTAAAAACAGATGGATTCTCGCTAATTCTTCCTCTAACGAATAAAAGTAAAACTTGGGCGTTGTAGTTAAATATAATTCTATGGCAGGTTTGTTTATCTGACATAGCGCACAGTAGTTGTGGAGGATATTCGTAGCTCTGGATGTGCATGTTCAGAGTGAGTTGTTTTCTGAGCTAGTGTTTTAGTCGAAACTTCATTGTGAAGCTATGATGCCTTGATGGTGATATCTTACCTGACATGAAAGCGTTTGCCGACTAAAACATTATCTCAGGAAACAAGTCAATCTGAAAATACCGCAAAGTGATACAGCATTATTTACTTGATGACGTTTCAAGCAAAAAATATTCCTTATAATCGCACCATTTTTGACATCTGGTTTTTAACTTCTATCACCCTACACTCTTTGCAGTGATAGTAAGTGACCACATCTCTGAGATATATGCTGTATCATCTCCATTATATGTTCCAGATGTTGATTTGGTAAACAAAAATTTATTAATCAAATCCCGTCTCCACCTAACCACATCAACTTTCAATACGGTTGCTGTATAGTTGTAACAGTATATGCATTGCTACAGTTAGTATTTTCTCCAGACTATTGGTTCTATGGCGGTACATCATTCTAAACTTAACTGAGTTCCTATGTTTTGATAACTTCTTTGACTTCGATAGGCTGGTTTGACCAATACATTTGACCTCACTGAATGGTACTCGATATATCGACTGATCTAAAAGATCTATGAGTCAACAAAGTTTGTGTCTGAGTGAACCTGAAGGTAAGAACTCCACCTTAATTCCAGCCGCGTTGACAATTCAACTTGAAATTTCTGATGTTCCTTCAATATTTGGTAACCCAAAAGCCTTAAATCCCTTCCTATTCATGTTGTCTTGCGATCCATAATGCAACTTCCTGTTCTATGTTCTTATGAATTTCCTAATATACTCCAGAGGATGATTATTGTTGAGTAATAGTATTTCTCTAATCTACTTCAGCTCTTTACTTAGGTCATTTGGTCCACCAGTAAGCTCTCTTGCCCTATTACTTACATGCTTCACTAAACCTGCTTAAACTGATATGGGTTGGAATGACCTGAGGTCAAGATACCTGTTATCGTGCTGGTTTTCTAAAGCATCTAAACCAAAGTCCATTCTTCGTTTTTCTTTGCAATCCAATATAGCTAATTTCCTTTAATTATTTTCGCACTAGTAAGTGAATCGCATTGCACTTAGTACTGTTTGTGTGTAAATACTATCGATAAGCTTCATTTTCAACACAACCAATGTCATACATATCTCATAAGCATGATTAAATGTCCTAGCAACCACGTGTTTCCAACCAACAATAAGTGTTTCCTATGATGGGGTACCGACTAAGCTGCTAATCCATCCTTCTGTTGACATATTTTGTCCTGAAGATCCTGAATGTTGGTCTTAGTTGTGTGAGGAGGTGTAAACTGCCTGGTTGTGGTCCCCGAGACCAAAGGTATCAGTAGTTAAGTACATATGTATTCACACCTCGACATCTTCTGAAGCTTGAATATTTACACTAACCATTATCTTCAGATTGTTTATTGTCTCACATAGCTTTGTCTACATTGATATCACTCTTCTTGCATCCACCTGTTATTTGTGTACTACTGTGAAGTGTGGCAACGAGCCGAATCACTTGTGTACGAGGTTCTACGTCGATCAGTCACTCGAATAAAGGAATGAGAAAGATGAGGAATAAATATATTCAAGAATTAGTGGTAGATAAGGCTTGAACAGACTGTTTGCCAAGGATTTAGAGTCTGATTACAATTTTTATCCTTAAGGTCGTTTCGACAACTTCAAACAAAAAACCTTCAGTTTCTTACACTGATCATAACAACTATCAAAGAAACGGTGGATAGGTATTTTTAAGTCCTTTCCACACTAGTCGTACACGTTTCACAGCCTCAATAGTTTCAGTGCTTAAAATACTTGACTTTAAAGCAGTAAATAAAGGGTAAAAAACCAGCTTCACCAACCAAAGTCCGGCCAGCCAAGTAGTATACTTAACCTTTACATATTTTGTCGTAATATCCGATGCTCAAACGTTTGCACAGTTGATGAGCTGCACTATAATTAAAAACAAAGCAATCATTCATCTTACTTTGTCTAGTAAAAGTGAGTGTGAATGCACACTAGAATGATTCTGCGCTTCACAAGTTTCGAATATTAACTTAATATATTACTGAACAAAAAGAGAGTTCAACGATATCCACAGCCCCATGACAAACGTCACACGCAACAGCGAAACCCTGATTATTGTTATTTGTATCACATAGTAGTTTTCTGCCGAGAACATAAACTGGTTTGGATGTAAGTGTAGCATCGTTTAATGCAACTTTTAGATGTGTACTTTACCGAGTTAATTCCTACTAACAGACTTAAATTCAAAATTTAGGCCTAAAAACACGGTTGCTGTTGAACGGTGACATACTTTTCTCCAAAAATAAACTGAAGTTGGAAATCTAGACAATTTATATTTTGAAGTACATTTTGATCTGTTCCGTGAAAGTATACCTTTCAGTGAGTAGTAGAGCTGAATATTTGGCATATGAATTACTGATTTCAACCCTTCCTTAAAACGTGAAGCGGTATGAAAGTAACCCGCAAACAAAATCTTAACATACCTTAGTTGACGGATATTTGTGAATGTGTACTTTCCTCCTCACAGACCTGCTTTCAGTAGAGAATTAGCTCTCACTCTATTTGTTGTTGGCAGTTTATTCTCACGAATCTCCATTTTCACCTAGCTGGAGACAGAAACTCAGAGTTTACAGTTCAAATTCGTGAAAGATGACGGTATTACAGGCAAAAATGTTTGTCGAGGCGTTCGGGGTAAGAAAAGTTCCAAGTCGTAGAGTATTTATGTGCTGGGATGAGAAGTAACCTCATGTACGAGCTAATGAATATCTATCCGTGAACTCCCTTGACCACGCTAAAAAACGATACCGCTTCGTGTGACATTTATTGCAACTATCCATATGAAAATGATATGAATAGGAGTAAATAATTTTCATGCGAACTTCATCCGGTAGCAGTATCGGTAGCAGTATCACTGTGCTATGTCCACTAAACAATCTCATATTAGAATACACTCAACCACAGTGTCCAAATATTACTCTTAAAAAAAACATGGGACAAACTTTTGACAACATAATTGCTGAGTACATTCGACAGTACATAGATTCAAAGATTTATCAACTGACCACCGATTTCCAGAACTTATCGAGACTTAAAGTATTTTAACTTGAAGTATGAGAAGGCTGTGCTTATGAGCATGCTTCGAACAAAGTAGGAGCAAAAACATTAGAACTACGCACTAATAATCTACAGTACATAACACCAGCTCATACTCCCTTTCAAGAGCTTATATCTTCGAAAATTTCATCAGTTATATATATAGATGAAAAGTTAGATAAGTGATAAAAAATATCATGCGTAAAAGTGTGTATCAGTTAGATAGTACGGAAATCCAGAAAGAAGAAAAACTTGAGTCAGTGACTCTGCAAGGAAAACGGATGTGATGATATTCGATAAATGTGGAGAATCTGGTAAGCTTAAAATCTAAAACCAGGCAGTAATTCAACCCGGAGATTGAAAGTGAACAAGTTAAACTCAAAAAGCGTTGAAGCCGTAACTCACACTAGGAGTCACGCGCTATTAGATTCAACATCCAACACCAATGATGCCAGTAGAGAAAACTTGTAGTTTTGGAGTTGTCGATTTTACGTCCTAACTAATTTCAGCTAACCTATTATATGTTAGGCTTGGTGTTTTTTAGCTAGAGTAAATCAACTGATGTTTTTGCGCTAGCCCCTAGATCTTGTGAAAGGATTCTAGGTCTTTAGTGGATTTCTATGCAGTAGGTCTACCCACTCACACCTGTTTTAGCTCTGATTAGTCCAGTGGGCTATAAGTGTTGATTAAGTTTGTAGGAAGGGAGTTATCTTTCCAAGGATTGTAATTCAGGTAACTTCAAATGTCTAACCGCAAGACAGTTGTCCTAACTGGTTGTAAAAGGTTGATTGATAGGAAGAACAAATGTCCATTAAAAAAGAAGCGGAAGAAATGATAAAAAGCAAGTTGAATGAGGCAGAATAAAATCGAAGGAGGCACATAAGTAGATTTAGGGAAGATAACATATATGGAGAGGACCCCAATAAATAGGATGAGATCGTTGAATCAGAAGGAGTCAGAGGGCAGGGGAAGAGCAAGTAAGATTGTAAGACGGATCATAGGAATACGAATGGTTATGTTATACTTTCGGGTATTGTTGCGTGGCTGTCGGCAAACGGCACAATGGCAATCTCGATGTGCAGTGCATTCCAGTGGCGCCAAGCTGGCAGACAAAAAGGTTGTGAACGCATTAGGGTTTTCACTCTTTAGTGGATGATTCTCCCTAGATTACCACGAAGACTGCCCCAGTGGCTATTTGGTAGGATTCTGTTGTTCAGAAGACTTTCGTTACTTTTGTAGGCCGCTACCGAGTTGCCACATAACCTACGGTACCTGTGAGAGTATCGCCCTAGGTCTTTCAGCCTGTCCTCATAGGCTTCGTGCCACATCACGCAACACGCTTTGTTCCTTGCCTCTGAACCTTCTGCTGCGGGTTCACATAGCTTTACAGGCATTGTGGTTCGATTACGTTGTGGACCTCTGAGTGAGGTTGTGTGTAGATCATGTACAGATACGGAAGGAGTTCCGGACGGAGGGTGCTAAGCTGTATGCCCATAAAGTAAAGTATTGCCGTGGAGGGATCTCCCGGATAATCTGAGCAGGTCCATAGCTTTTCAGCCAACATAAGTCCTAGGCCTTTCTACATGGGGTGTGGGAAAGCCGTCTATCATGGAGGGAGGAGGATACCTCTTCAAGCCGGAAATTTCGGAAACTATGGTCCGGCACTTATCAAAGTTAAAAGCCAGTCCCATGTTTTAAAAACTTTGGGCACTGAGTAAATGAAATCCATTATTTTAGCATTTGTATTTTCTAATGAATATGAAACAAAGCGAATTTTTTCCACCTGGCGTTTTTCTATTTAGTGCTAGCGGCTATATCAAAATTATGGCAAGCCATAACCTCGCCTCCTTAACTAGTTCACTAGCTACTGGACGAACCTAAGCCCGGGTAAAGAGGGAAGGTTGGGCTAAAAACCCTACACCGGAAAACAAATCCAACCGCTAAAGAAACTTCAAAGCACAAGCAAAATATTGAAAACAAAAACAAAATTGTTCCTCAATGGAATCGGAGAGGCGAAATGACGCCAGTTGGTGAAAGCCTCCGGGAAGCCAATCGATCGATGTATCTTCTCTCCCTCGATGAAAGCGAAAGTAAACATGGGGACATGGAATGTCCGCACCATGTTTGAACCCAGCAAGGCAGCCCAGATTGCAAAGCAGATGAGAAGGTATCACATTGGAATGCTTGGAATTTGCGAAAGCAGATGGAATGGGAGTAGACTCTCCAAACTGTCAACTGGAGAGGAGTCAATAATCTACTCCGATATTGTCATCCAGACGACAACCACGAACACACTGAGTTTTCGAGTGGTTATCATGATGTCCACAACAGCATTGAAGGCTCTCTCTCTCATGCAGTGGGAACCAATCTCCTCCTGCTGGATCATAACAGCAAGGTTCAACTCGAAAGGAAGGAAGGAAGGTCCCAATCATTCAATGCTACGCTATTCACCCACAAATAATGCAGAGCAAGAGAAAAAGTAGGAATTCTACAGACAATTGCAATCAACACAGGACAAGACCTCAGTTGGCGAAATCAAAATTCTAATGAGTGATATGAATGCCAAACTGGGAGCAGACAACACAGGAAGAGAACCAACCATGGATCGAGAAGCACTCGGTGAGGTGATGAACGAGAATGGAGAATTGTTTGCAGAATTCTGTGCACTCAACGATTTGGTGATTGGAGGCGAGGCAGTGTGTTCAAGCACAAGGATATCCATAAGGCGACATGGATTTCTGCAGACACCAGGACGCTAGAAATCAGATGGACTTTATCTCAATGTGAAGAAAGTGGAGACGCAGCCTACTTGACACAAGGTCAAGCAGGGGAGCAGATGTAGGCTGAGACTACTATCTAGTGCAAGGAACCTACCTTCCAAATCAAGTTGAAAGCCTTCAAGGAAGTTGGTGATAGACCACAGTTCAAGTTCAACACCCAGATGAGGAAATGAAGGATGAAACTACAGGGGAAATCCTCACATCAGCCATCAAGACAAAATGGGGGATATCGAGGAACATCCCTGAAGAAACCTGTGTGGAAGAATACTGGAAGAATATGTACTTCTCTTCCCTACATTTTTCATAGCGTAGTAATTTCTCTTTCCATATCTGCTTGTGCTTCTTCTTTCTTTTTCCATTTGCAGAAACAGCTGCAGGTCGACATTTGATGTTCAAATTCAGTCTGAACATGATTACTTTGTGGGAATAATTCCTGCTCATTGACGTCAATAATTGTTGAACCGCTCTCACTCTTTCGGAAATTCTTGACCATCTTTAAGATTAACTCACCTACTGATCTTGATTTTTCTTGCGACGAGCCGTCTGACGATTCCCAACGGTACTAGTAGCAGAGACATTTTGAACAGATGATTAAACCAGGGACCAATTTACATATCGGCTCAGGATGTCATTTACCTGCAGTGGCTCCACACTATACATTTTCTAGTACTCTGCACCAAGAGACCTTTTCATATGAAACTTACTATGCATCACATACACTTCTCGAATGATGCCACCCATGCCAATACAAAGACACCCGAAGTCTGTGTATAAAATTACTGCCACTTGAATTATTGGCTGTTTCAACATCTATCCTCATTCAATACAACAAGTATTCCCAGCAGAATTAATTTGTATTACCTTTAAACTTAACATGGTGACCTGGAAATGCATTGATATAGCCACACACGTTGGTTATTTAGCTGTGGATAGTTTATTGATACTCCAGATTGTATAAACGGGTCCTTTGTGGTTGGCAAAGCTAAAAACTGAAGATCATTCTAAGTACTATACTGTTATATTACTGATTAGCAAACCATGCGAATGGACTTACAACGTCGGCTGGTTATAACGCAAACTTTGAACATTGCGCGCTTTTGATATGGTCAATGAAACGTGTCTGTGAGATGGGAGGTGAAAATCTATATCTGTCTCATGAATTTAAGAAAAGTTTTAGCAAGATTATACACACTAATGACTTGATATGTAAACTATTTAATACCTGATACCAGTTCGTAGACTTTCAGAAATTATGAATTTGACGGTGCTTGTAAACTGGTGTCCCTCATGTTAGGCCAGCTAATGAAGACAATATTTGTCATTATCTAAACTTTAACACTCTATGTACGCTGTAAAGTAGTACTTCCTTGTTTGTTTCATAACTAGCAGGACCTTCTGCAGTTTTTAATTGAGTTAAATGAGATTCCGTCATTACCACTGAGGGCTAAAATCGTGTAGATTGTTTGAGATGTACAAACGTGATGAAGCCTGTAAACCGACTTCTCCGATGTTAAACTTTTTAACATGAGAATAAAACATTTATTTATTTATTTATTTATGTGCATTACCGTATAAGGAAGGAAGAAGAAAGAAGACAGGACAGGGAATGGATCTCGACGGACATATGGAAGCTGATAGAGGATGCAGAGGAAGATTATGATGGTGAAGCAGAAGATAAACAAGTGCAAGGATGAACGACTAAAAGAGGATCTGAGCAAAACGTATAAAACACTGGACAAAGAAATGAAGAAGAGTGCGCACAAAGACAAAAGACACTTCCACGACACACTGAAAAGTGAAGCAGGACAGGCTGCAGGTAAGAGAGACCTGACAACATAGTATCAAATAACCAGGTTACTATCTGGAAGGGAAGAGATCAACACAGATGAAACCAACAAAGGATGATGCAAGAGATCTAATTACCAAAGAAGAGGAACGTAGGAAACAATGGGCTGACCACTTCAAGAAGCTCTTGAATCGACCACCCTGACCACCTGCACTTCGTCCAGAAATACCACTTGCAGCCGAGCCACAGAATTACCAGTGAACATAGGCCCTCCAACGAAAGTCTACTTCCTGAATGCCATAAAGCTACTGGAATTCGGGGAGGCGGCAGGACCAGATGGAATCCTGTCGGAAGCATTGAGAACAGAGGCAGAGACAACAGCGGATATGCTCACACCACACCAATATTGCAGAAGGTCTGGAAGGAAGGGAAGGTACCTGCCCATTGATTGGAAGAAGGGCTATCTTGTCAAACTCCCGAAGAAGGGAGACCTAAGTCTTTGCAAGAACTGGCGCGGAATCAGGCTTCGGTCCACCCGGAGCAAGCAAAATATTAAGCCACATCATCCTGGAAAGATTAAAGGATGCACTGAATTCCAAACTACTACCGGAACAGGCTGGCTGGTTTCAGGAAAGACAAATCATGTGCTGACCAAATTGCAACGCTTCACATCATCATAGAACACAGCATAGAATGGCATTTAACCCTCTACCTCACCGCAACTTCATCGATTTTGAAAAGGTCTTTGACAGCGTCGACCGAGAAGTAATTTGGCAGCCGCTTCAACACTACAGTTTTATTGCGATAAATCTTTATCAACCTCATTCAACAGCTATATGAAGACGCC